ACAGCGGCAGCATTTGGTAGAAATTCTCATAAACACCATCTGTATGTTGTTAATGTGTCATAATTGTAAAATTTATAAATAATTACAACACTCATGTTATATGTTTTAAAATTGTAATTAATCATATATGTATATATTTTTTAAATGGTTATTAGTAGAATGTAAGGGTTATCTAATTCCCTAACTACTAAACTCAAACGAAAAAACGAGAATTCAAATTGGTATGAGTTTTAAGATTATTGCATATTCAAGGCTAAGTATCTTTTCCAGTGTATGTTTTCTCCTAACAATCTAATGCCAAATTAAAATTCCTAAGAAATAGCGATATTCTTCTGTATGTCTTAGTTCCCCTACATTTTTGGGGTAAATCCTTTGCAGAAGCAATGAACTCACAGAACTCATAAAGGGTCGAAGGAGTATCAGAGGGCTTCTCAGAGGGTCTTCTTCTTCAGAGAATTTCTGGGGAGAAAGTCATAAAGTGTAGAATTTCCAGCAAGCGAGGAGGCTGAACCCACCTTTAAACAAACGTCGAGGGCTACGATAACCCCTTATCTTTGTCAACTGGCGTAGGGTCTCTGGAATGTTGGAGGGGTTGGGGCCCTCCACTGGGGATATATTCCCCCAACGACTTTTTTTTGTTTTGTTTTTTAACTTTTTTCCCTGCGTTTCGTTTCGTTTCGTTTCGAATCGCTGCCAGTACCGATCGTCGTCTGCTCTTTGTGCATTCTTTCAGTTTATTTTGCGTCGTCTCTCTTGTGTGCGCGCCTTTGTCGCCTGTTCTCGGCTTTCCGTTCTCCGTTCTCCGCTCCCCCAATTCTCCGTTCTCCCGTCTTTAGTCTTCAGTCTTCCGAGGCATGCAGTCATCGGCGACGTCGCTGAATTTCATTTCAGCCAAACCAAACCATACCAAAACACCAAAACCAAAACCAAAACCGAACCCAAAGCGAACTGAACCAAACCGATGGTGATTCATCGAAATTAAAAATAAGTGTTTTTGTATCTGTATCTCAGCGCTTGTTTCACATTCGCTGCTTCTGCTGTTGTTGTTGCTGTTGTCGATGTTGCTGTTTTGCTCACATTCCACTGCCGGCCATAGCTTCACTATTTTCCCTTTGCCCTGAAGAAGGAATGAGGTTTTAGAGTCAAAACTCTCTAATACATGCAGAAATTTACTTTTGTTTTTCATTTTTGATGTTTTTTAAGAAGGGGGAATCTGACGGGTATCTCTTGAAGACTCTGTTCAAGCCGAAAGGAGCTTAGGATATCTATCATGCATTAGGTATTCTTAACCGAAAGATTGATCGAAGACCTTAAACCTTCTTTTTTTTAGAATTGTCCCTTATAAGATATTAGCATGTGTATGTCTATAAGTTTTTAACATATTTGTACATAAATCATGAATCTAAGTACAATTTAAAAGTATGCAAAAAGAAAAGATGATTTTTAAAAAATTTTAAAAGTACTTCAATTCAGCTAAAACCTTGTTTAATTGCAATAAAAACCTATAAAAATGTTAAGCTTTCATAGTTCATAAGGGATTACAGATTCAATTAAATAATAAATGCTGGTTCTTATCTCAAATATTACCCCAAACGCTAAGTATTAGGTTTCATATTCAATACCCCCAATCACCATAGCTCCACAGCCCCAAGCTGATCTAAAACAGAACCTACCACTTGACTGAGTTTTCCCAGGGAAATTCACCGGCTGAGCTAGCAGATTAGTCATCGAATGCTTCCTGCTCTCGGTTCAAGGACACCTGTTTCCACATTCCACGCCAAACGATCCCTGGCATGCAACATCCGCCATCCGAAGGCAGGTAGCTGGGTGTGTGTGTGTGGCTGCTGTGATAACCTTGCCGCGATTGCAGATGGTGGTGCTGCTTTGTGTTTTGGTGGTGCTACAGCTATAGCTATTGCTATTGCCATGGCTAATGGTGGTGCCTCGAATATCCTTCCTTGGTCACCTTGGGCGGCATTCACGAAATGTGTATCCATGACACGCACACTCAAACACACTCTCGAACACACACACATACACCCATGCGACCGGGTATCCAGGGGACACACATACGGGTCCGTTGTGGATTAAAATTTCTTCGTTCCTTCTACTTTTTTATGAACGTAGAATGCATTTCCCTTGGCGAGGACGAGGAGCAGCGAGGGCTGAGGAGGGGGGCATTTATTTTCGGCATTTGAAGTTAGTCCTTTGAAAAAACGGGGGTTCGAATTCAAAGCGCTAGACCGAACGAATCCCAGCGAAAGGGAATGGAATGGAAATGTGCGAAGGGTTGCTCGACGTCCTCTCCCCTTGAATATTTGTGTGTGTGTATATCCATGTGTGTGGAAGGAACACATTTGGATGCCAGACTGCCGTCGAGTCTCAAACTCCCTGTGCGACATTACGGCCAAGTGTAAGCAGCAGCAGCAGCAACATCAGCGACAGCCCAGCAGCAACGTCGAAATCGATTTTGGAATTCGTCTCATGGCGAGTGTGTGGAAAATGCTGATAAATGGAAGTTAGACTCGGGAACGGCACCCAGGATCCCCCTCTCGACGGCGTTCACTGCCACGGCCATGCTAATGAGACCCCCTCAAGAAGACCCCACGCACCGGGAAAATAAAACCCTGATTTTGATAGAATTTATCAGAAATTGTTCATCTATTTAGGGCTTTTCATTAAGTAAACTACAAGTGGTAATTAAGTTATACTTCTACAATAATTTTAAGGTATAGTTCAAGCGTCCTTGCTAAAAATTCTTGTGATTAATTTATGGGAATAAAAATCCGAAATCATATAATAGAAAAGGTTACAGGTTTTCCAATGTTTTGAGTGATATGACATTTTGGACCTTTTCGCTGTGTAACAAATGCAGCTCAAAAGCATTGGCCCCTCAACACAACGCAAATGCAACTGCAGCTCCCCGAAATAATGCTCCCAAAACCCCCTCCTTACAAACCAAACCCAACTCCTCCCACCCATCGTGACCGATAAGTGATGAGGCCCGTTCGGTGGGTGGTTACCAGTTGGGGGATGGCTCCGTTTGTTTGCCAACGTCGACGCATTGATAAGATAAGCAATAGGCAAGTCGGAAAGTCGAAAAGTCTGACATCAGGCCCATGGACCCCAGAAGCGTGTGGAACGGAGTGCCGGGTCCCCCGGAACCCTCTTCATAGCCTATAGCCCATGGTCGTTGTTGTCGTGACTCGGCGCTTTCTTACGGCTGCGTTTCAGAAAATTCAAAATTCATAGAATGCAAATGTTGGTTAAACAACATTTTGCCCGGCACACGACCGCGCTCCCAGGTCCAGTCGCAATAGCAGTCGTTGCAGTCGCAGCTGAGGCACAAACAGTAACAGTAACAGAAATAGAAATAGAAACAGAAACTGAGACCACACCGATTCAGGTCTCGACTAGGAATCACCAGTGGAAAGGGGGGCTGTCGGGCGGCGAGAGCTTAAGTCAGGTTTTGTGAGTTGAATTTTAAGTAAAACTAACTTAGACGGGCCGCTCCGTCCAGCTTATAGCTCTAGAAATACCCAACCATATACCGGGATTTACATTACACCGAATAAGGGAGTGCGGTCTTTGGAAAAGGGAATTTCCAAATCGGAATTCATTTAATGATTTAGGAAAGTTTTTGTACTCCAAGCTTAGGAACTAGGAAAAGCTTAAAGTAGAATTCCCTAACATGGAAACTTTTCTAGTTTTTAGTTATCGGAAACTAGAATATATTTTCTATTTTACTATTTTTTTTACTCAGATTCCAACTTTTATTTCCTTAGATTCTAAGACGTTGAATGATATATAATATAATATGCAAAAATAAGAAGATAAAATAAGAATAAATCTAGAAATGAATCAATAAATCTCTTTGCTTATCAATTTTGTTCCGCCTTGGGGAGACAAAGCCTGGAGGCCTGATCTTATAATGAGATATCCTTTATATGTCGATAGATTAATATGAAATTTAAGACTTTCACAACATCCAACTTCTCCATTGCCATACATATCAGAAGGCAGTCTGGGATTCTTTAGATTGCGGACCATCATCAATTAATCTTAGCAAATCGGATCTTTGCATTAAATTGCGAGTGCGAATGCAAATTCCGAGTCGGGGACAAATCTGCCTGGGGATATTTAAAGCTTTAATTTTGGGGTCCAGCGATTGAATAAAATTTCCGATTGGGTGGTTTCCCCACATCTACATACATATATGTTTATGTATTTGTTTGCCTTTGTAAGAGTGTGCGTTTGTGTACATAATCACGCACACACAAGCACTTGATGCATACGCACATTTAATGCAAATTTAAGCAGTTAGCAAGCAAGTAAAACCGTTATGTGTACACAGGGATATGAAGCTGCGCCTATATATATATATATATATATATGTACGTGTGTGAGTGTTTGTATATAAATGCAAGTGTTTGTAAATGCATCGACTGCTTATGTATGATGCAGGCAATATAAATAATTGTAGTATATAGGCAGGCAAGTGTGTGTGTGTGTGTTGCATAACCGCATATGCTATATACGCACATATCTAGTGGTGTGTGTGTGTATATATATGTTTATATATCGGCATCTGCATCTCTGCCTGGCTGCACATTTCATTGCAATTGCATTAGTGCGTTGGGCCCTTTGTTCATTACAAAATGCAGACGCACACACACACGCATATGTATTACCGAATAAAATAAATTTCCCACAAAATATTTACGCATTTCCCGAGCAAGATAAACACCAACTTTCCCAGTGCAATCAATAAAATAGCTGGAATTTGTTTGATTTTTATACATATTTAATTTATTTTCTCATCTTCTTCTCCTCCTCCTCCTCCTTCTTCTTCATCGTATCGTTAAATTTTTTGGGGGATTTCGCCTCCTAAAACAGAAATATCAATTGTCGAAAAACTTAGATCTAGGGAAACTTGCAATCGAAACTCAAGGATTTACAGAATCAACATAGTTAATAATAATAATAGTTTGCAAAAGGAATTAAGGCATTCAGTATATTGCAGTTCTAACAAAAGTTCATCGAATTGGGCTCATTTAACTAATCCAAAAACAGAGAATCGAAGGAATAATCCTGGCTTAACATAACATTGTACATATTTATTTAATTTTAATTTATTTAATTTAATCCTCGCTTCTATTCCGCTTGATGCTGCTTAAATAAAATTACGTAATTGTTGTTTTAGCATTAATTTTTGTTTGCTTGTTTATGTTTTCCTTTTTATACAATACATTTTATATCACAATAGAAAAAAGAATTAATTCGCATATTCTTTTCAATCGTTATCTTCTCTTTTTGCTTGCTTACTTATAAATTAAACAATAAAAAATGTACAGAATTTTCTTTAACGTTTGTGTTTTGTGTTCAATTGTGTGTTCGTGTGTGTATGTGTTTGGGTGAGTTTTTTCTTTGCTATTAAACAAGGTTGCTTTTTTTTAATGTTTTATAACTTGTGTTTATGGTTATTCCCCCCTCATTTTCGATATTTGACTAATTGTGGCTTGACAAATTTTAAGAACTAAGAATTAAGTTTACGCATTTTCATTAAGTGTCTACTATTAACATTGTTTTTTCTTAGTTTTCGTTACTTTTTTACGTTTACGTTTTAATGAACTAAATTAAACGGCATAACTAACGACGCTGTACTAAACAAATTCGCAACGAAGACGAGAAGAAAACGCCGAGGCACAAAAACAAAGATACAAACACAAAAAATAATACAAAAAAGGGAGCACACAGGCACAAAGCAACAAAAATGCGGTGGAGAGCGACAAAAGAGCGGAGGAGAGTCAAGTCGCCAGAGCTTCAATTCCCCATACTCCCTCTCTTTTTCTGCTTTGTTGTTTTTATCGTTGCTGCGCTGCTGCTGTTGTTGTTGCTGTGGCAATGGAGGACGCTGGCTTTTGTAGCCGAAGCGTGAATTAAAATAAACTATTTAAATTTATTTGCATCTGCTTAACTGCGGCCTGCACTGCACACACACACATGCGTGTATGGGTGTGTTATATTGGTGTATGCATGTGTGTGCTGCCCACTCTCCTGCTCTCCCCCTCTTTACCCCTCCGCTGCTTTTGCTTATCGGGCGTCTCCATCGCCATGCACTTTGTTGCTGTCGGCCATAGCTGCAGTTGTTGTTGCCTGCTGTTTCTTTTTCTCTTTTTTATTTTTTTTTATCGCTGCGTGCGTGTAAGCCGACGCCAGCGGCATCTCCCCTCTCGCTCTGGCCCCCTAGAAACACAACACAACGCAGCGAAGCGAGCTCCATAATAAGTGCAGACTTCTGTTCGGCGGAAAAATAGCTAGTTACAGCGGGAATACTACTTAACTGGATACTTCGCTAAGCCATCATTATTTTTCAAGTCCCTTTTTACACAAGCTGAGTTTTATAAAGGAGAAAAAATGGTTCAACACCTTTGACTGATGTTTACAGCATCTTAGAAAAAAAAATATAAATTCAGGTCGTATAAAAAGGGCTTTACATAATACATTTAAGTCAATTAATCTAACTGAACCAATATCAATGTAAAGCTTTAAAAAAATAATAAGGAAATTGTAAGTTAAAATCAAATAAAAAAACAACCACCAAAGAACTATTCCTATACCAAATTAAAATTTGCTGTAAATAAGCTAAACTGGCAGCGCCTTCTCCCCGACGTCGTCTGTCTCTGTCCCTATTGCCCCAACTCCGAAAACTCGCCTTGCTTGCTCGCTTGCGAGTGTGTGTGCCTCATTGTTTGCTTTTTGTTGTTGCTGCGTTGTTTTGTGCCTCTCTGCTCGTTTCTCGGTTCGTACAAAAAAAATGTAGTACAGCGTGTGGTATGGCAAACGAAAGCTATGAGTTCTCAGTGTATCTTGTCTGCTTCTGCCCTCTCTTTCCCGCCCGGAATCTATAGTTGGGAATTATAAGAGCCGCGAGCGGCCTCCTCCGCCGCACAGGCGTTGCAATCATGGTGGACGCATCACCTGACCAGCCAGAGGCCCAAATTGAGCTTCTGCAGCTTGGGCAGCTTCATGATGATGTCGATGCCCTTGGAACTGAGTTGCGTGCAGCCGTAGAGATCGATGGTTTTCAGATTGGTCAGATCCTCGGCCAATGTTTGCAGGCCTTTGTCCGTAATACGACTGCACTGCCCGATATTAAGGTTTTCCAACTCGTGAAGTGCCTTGGCGATTTTCAGCATTCCATGATCGGTTATCTGGCACTGATTAAGGGACAGGGATCTCAATCTATAGAGACCCTGAGCAATATGCGTTAACGCCTGATCGCTGATTTTGTCACAGAAGCTGACGTCTAGTGAGTTGATTCCGCTTCCGCCTTCCGTGAGGTAAGCCATACCAATATCCGAAATATTATCGCAAGAGCGGAGGTTAAGTTGCTCCAGCTTGGGCATACGGGCTAGGTGCTTCAATCCACTGTCTGTCACCGAGACACAGAAGCTCAGGTTAATCGATTTCAGCGAGGTCAGACCCTGGGCAATGTGGCCCAGAGCTTCATCGCTTAACCGCTGGCAATCCTGTAGCCCCAAATACTCCAGCTGGAGATTGCCCTCAGCCGTTTCCCGCGAGAATCCTGCTAGGTGACCTATGCCCTGATCGCTGATGTGCCAGCAGGAACGCAGATTAAGGTGCTTCAGCTTCTTCAGGCCCCACGCTATAAGTAGCAGTCCTGTGTTCGTGATGTTGCAACATCCACCCAGTTCCAAAGTCTCCAGATTCCTCAGATGCTGGGCAATCCTTCCGAGACTTGTGTCCGTGATCTGTTTGCAAAGGGAGAGGTCCAATGTCTTTAGGTTTGGCAGATCCACGCTAAAAGCATGGCCCAGGTTCATGTCGGCCACATTAAAGCAGCCACTTAGGTTCAGGGAGGTAAGAGCCGGAACACCAAGTACCAAATCCTTAAGAGAACGGCGCAGGGAGAGGATCTGCACCTTTTTGATGCCTCTTTTGACCAGACAGTTAAATAGGCTCGGACTGGAGCGTTTAAGGTGCAACTTGGCCTCGACGCCCTTCCAGACGCTTTTGGCATAGGCCGCATCCCGCCAGGCGGTACAGACCTGGGCCGCCCGACCCAGATCCCTTACTGGAAGGTGTTCAAAGATCTGTTCAAGAAGTTCGGGGAACAAATTGCTAATGTGGGTGCCTTCCACCGGCGCCGGACTCTCTGGCGAGGCGGGCCTGTGCGGTAGGTGGTGATGATGATGATGGTGGTGCTGTGCGTGGGCTGCCGCGGCTGCTGCTGCCGCCGCCGCTGCTGCGGCATGCTGCAAATATAAGGCCGGAGGCAGAGTTTGCAATTGGTGATGGGGCGGTCGGTGGTGCAGGGCGTAGGGCGTGAAGCGCAGCAGGTGGTGGTGGGTAGTGGTGGCCCCGGTTCGTGTCAGTCCAGGGAGCTCAGTCTGTTGATAGAGTTCATCCATGGCCCAGCTGGGCGCTCCTGCTCCTCCTCCGCCGACAATAGCCGCTCCGCCACTGGTGGCCGCTCCATTGCTCCCGGATCCTCCACAGTGACTATTCAAATTGTTCAACACCGCGATTGTTTGATGACGGAAGGGCAGCAGTTCTGTGTTAGTGGCCATTTCCTCCTCTTGCTTATACACTTGGCTATTCTCTTGACTGCTACTTTGGATCTACTTATGCGTTGGTTTTTCTATATACGCTGCATTTTACTGTTTGTATTCTTAGTTGAAGACTAGTAGGGTTCACTGTGGTTCACTCGCGTTGCACTTTAACTCTAGAGCACTGTGTGTCGGGTGCTTAACTGTAGCTGTTAGTCCCAAGTCCCAGTAGGTCTCTTTATTTATTCTTTGTTCTTGCGACCGAGACAGAGACGATGTGCGCGAACCGGACGATGATGAAAAACTCAACTCGAAACGCAAAGGCGCCTTGCTTTTAGCCTGAGTCGCAGGGAATTGTGAGAAGAGAAAGAGAGAGTGAGAGAGCGAGGGAGGATTATTTTTATCTGAGCGTATTCAGCAATAAGGTTGCTTGTAGAGAGCAGGTAGCAAAGTACGCTCTCTATCGCGTACTCTCTCTCTCTCTCTTCGTATCAGGCTGAATGCTGAGTCAATGGCGGTTTTTAGCCAGCTTGGCTAATTTAAGGCTAAATTTATTATAACTTTACACTTATGGTATTAGGTAAAATCTTTTAAAAATTTTCAAGCCCAATTTTAAATTTTAAATCACTTCTATTTTTTTAAATCACTTCTCTCTTACAATAAAACAACAAAATATGTTTAGCTTAATTAATTTTTAAGTCCATTCGTATACTTGTATACTCGTATAACTATTTGTTCCTACATCCTAAATTGCAAAGGTAACTCTGCAGTTTTTTTTTTAAGTGAAAATGATAATACATTAGATATCTGTATAATGCTGAAACTATTAAATCTGATTTCATTGTTATTTTAATTTCACTTCTTTGCTGAAATCACAATTTTTATATAACATTTCCTGCCTTTCTTGCATTTAATTCCCATACTTGTTTGTGTTTACTTTGAGAACATTTCCTATAAATTCGTTATTCTTAGCCTTAAGTTTGCTTCTAAGCTTCCCTCGTTTCAAGTCCTGTTTAGTCATGTCAGCATTCTCATCACTGACTTGAGAGAATCAAACCGCAAAAGAGACAGAGAGAATCAGAGAGCATAAGACGAGGAGAGACTAGTGCTGGTTATAAGACAAGGCTTGGATTTATCTTTTGGCTTTGGACCCAGCTCTGCTCCAAGTTTCAGGTTATTCTTTACCCGCCGAGCCAAACTCAATGCCAAACTCCGACGCATTTGTTGTTTCTGCTGCCGCTGCATTCCGAAGTCGAGCAGGTACCTGTCTTCTCTCTCTTTCTCCCCCTCCTTCGCTTCCCTCTGTATCACCCTCTCTTTCTATCTCATCTATGTGAGTGCGATCGCTGCTCGCTACCTGCGAACGCAGCAACAACAACACAATCCAGGTTTCCAGGAAAATATTAACGATAACTCCAAAAAAGAAGAAAAAATACGGTGCCGCACACAGACCCCGAAAGAGAAACAGATTGGGATGCACAAATCCAACGGATGGCACAACAATAGCGAACTGGCATTGTTATTGATACTAGGAAAGCCATGCACTCTCTCTTGTGCATTTGCTTTTGCCCCCTAAAAAAGGAAAACGCCGTCGTCTTCTTTGCCTACTAAAAAAATAAAAGAAAAGGGACTAGGATCGGAATCGAGAAAAGGCCTTAGGACCTGGGAAAATCTGAGTTGCTACCTGACCCCGTAATGCTCACACCCGCACCCTCAAATATACACACACTGATATCAGCATCCTGGAGTTGAAAAGGGACTCGTACACTAAGAAAAAGTACATCTTAAGTTTATTAATACATCTAAATATCATTCGATACAAAGTTGTATTTTCGGTTTAACCCGATTTAAAACAAGATGATTTTTAGCCCTCCGGTTTTGTTTTTACATTTATTAGGATGAATACCTCTAAAGATTATATAGTGTAAACAACAATTAATTACACCTTTTTACATTGCACTGTAGATTAGATCATTTTCGCTTCCTTTATTAAACATTCTTTAAGGTAATTTTTGAAACAACTTACTTACTGACTATAGTTTTGAAAGTTCTGTTATGAGCTAATATATACTATTTTATAGGGAAAGGATATAAAGATAATAAATATTAATAGTACGAAAAAGTAGGCAATTTTTAATAGCTTTTTCCTTGGAAGTACTACTTAGCACCCTGCTATTAACTAGTCTTTCTTGAAAAGCCTAAAACTACTGACTCGTTTTTTAAATCTAGAAACCAAGATTTAAAAGTATATCTGATGTATATTTTTAAAAGCAAGTCGGTTTTATTGTAGTAAAACATACATATATTTGAAATATTTCCAATAATCATTTAGTCATTACATCAACATGCTGTAACGTATTTATTCTCAGTGCAAGGAGAAGAGTCTAAGTTGATTTCTCGGGCCTCCTGCCGAGGACTCTCGCCGTCGTACAGTCATTATCCTGGCGGGCATAAGGGCAAGGCGTGCGTCCCTCCAACCTTCCTGCCCCGACCACTGCATCTTATGGCTCTTCTACCTGTCAAACCGGTTTGGCCGAAAAGGGCCAATCTCTCCCTCTATCAGTCTTTTGGACGTGTCAAGGCGGCCATCGAAAATAAAAATAATCTCTTCGCTGGAACTCTGTGGAACATCGGACGCAGTCCTCCGCCACCGACACTGAAATATAGTGCGGCACATATAATAATCGATTGGTTTTCGGCTGGCTCTCCCTCGTCATCTTGGCTCTTCTCTTCTTTATTCCTTTTCTTTTTATTTCTGCGCATTGCGTACTATGATCGCGATCATTAAAGCTGCCGCTGGGTGATCACAGGTAGAAGTATAAGCCAGCGGAAAAGGTGCAACACGCATGCGCAGTGCAAACGGGCCAAATGCAATCTCCGTGGGCAGATGAGGCAGTCGAAGGCAATCGGAGAGGAAGGGAGAAAGGCCCACGCAGACGATTTGATGTTTGGGCCAGCCCAGCGAATTGAATCTGCATTCGTACGTAGCTACTTGACTTATCTGCGGGCAGCAAAAACAAGATACCACATTAATTTGCATATGCATATCCGCGAATGGGCACATCTGCCAATTGATGTCTTAACTTCACATTTTTTCCCTAAATAATTGATTATGCCATGTTCTTTATTGTGGTTAAGCTAAGATCAAATGAAGTTTTACAGCTGCAGTCTGACACATGATGGTATCTAATTTAGACATTTTTAACATTTCTTTTGTATTAAACGAAATTTTAAGAATTTTGGTTAAACGTTCTAAAATAGAGTATTCATTATGATCCTTGTAGTAAGCTATTATTACAGAAATAAGTTGAAAACTTCAGTAACTATGCATTTTCAGTAATTATAAAATAGTTAATCACCAATTCAGTTCTAGAATATTGAACTTCATTAACAAATCGCAGATTTAGATCGTAGATTGAGTCAGTTGTTATTGCTAAAGTACTAACCAAGGGAGTAAAAACAGTACAAAAGGCGCCGTCATCAAGACCAATTGATTTTATCGCCAAGTCTGACCAATTTGTGGTCTGCCCGCATCTCTTCCAGGTCTCATCTCCTCTTGGTTCTGACCAATTGCCTGGGAAAAGGGTGTCAGCCAGGGCTGTGGGACTTTGGACACCGGCATCAAAAACTGCGTCAAGCTGTGACAGATTTGTTTCAGTACATCATAAAATTTGCCTTTGATCGGGCATGAAACATGTGTGATCAAAGAAATAGCCCTCATAAAGAGAAGGGATCTCAAAAATATAAAACAATTTATCAACTCAATTTATTTTTAAGTACCAACTTAACAAATTGAAATAGGTTTCTTGTAAAATATATAAAAACCCGCAGTCGAGTCACACATTTCCAAATCTGACACCCACAATCTAATCTCGGATCTGAAAACCATCCTCCAAAGCCTCCATTTCGACGAAATCAGCCAATTTCCGATCCTAGGGCGTGTCCTCCAGCTTCAAGTGGACTCATATGAAACGAGGATATAAGAACTTGTGGTGTCCCGTTGGGAATTAACACTTGTCCAGCTCTTGGAACGACTTCCACTTCCACATTCACATGAGCAGCGGACCGCTGTAAACTGAAACCGGATTGAGAGGTCATGGAATAATCTCAAGGGTTGCCGTTGTCTCAAGTGCAAAGTTCCGCTGCAGCTGAAGGAGATTTCTGGGTAAGAACGTAGATATCGGCATTGCGATCGAAGTCCGTTACAGGAAAGAATCCGGTCAAATAAGGAGTGAAGTGTTTCCAGGAAATGCAAAAATAAGTAAGTGAACCTCTCAGGGACTCCAGGATCAAAGAAAATATATCCTAATAACTTCGTCTTCAAGTTGTACTTAAAAAATATCTTAAGACTATATTCCTATATATAAACCAACCCTTACAAGACAGATTATTCGCAAACAAAAGACTTCATTTTTCCACATATATGTAAAATGTTCCTTTATTGTTTATGTAATTTTAAATGCTATATGTATATATCTAGATATAGTATTTATATCGTAAGTAAATGTCAGTTATTATTTTTGCTTTTGAAAAAGTTCGTTTATGGCATTACGCACTAAAAATTAAATGTCCGCTTCGTGTTAAGGGGTTCTGTTCGGTTCGTTCTTAAAATTCGTTTACGCTATGACTTTAAAATACTCCCAAGTTACACAACTCTAGAAACTATATGCTAATTATTAAAACCCAGACCCAACTATGCTTCTTTTCTCTATATGTATATGGCTACGGAAGGGCAGTTCAACTCAAGCAAGTTGGATTCGATATTAGGATTAGGAGTATGTTGTATATATATAATATATATATGTACATGCCGGCCGATCTGGGTCGGCGTTTAGCAAGGAAGTGGATTTGTGTGAGTGTATGCTAAAGCATATTTTGATTTGATTTGATACATGCGCGGTTCTAGGTGCTATATGATCTCTATATAGGTAAGTGTAATGCATATGTGTTTTTTAGTATTGTTTAAACGATTCGTTGACTCTAGTCCCCATGGATATTATTCGTATATCCATAGCCTATAACTTGGCCCTAAGCACTTCCCCTAAAACCCCGCCTTTCCCGATTCAACTCACGATCTGGGGTTTAGTAGAAAAGTGCTTGGGTCTCTTCGGCGAGCCGAACTCTCTGAGCGTTTCTCTCCTCCGTTTCGATTCGATTTGATTTGATGATATATTCATTTTGCATTTCTAATGTGTTACGTGCCTAAGTTCTAAATTATGCTATATACGATCCCAAAAAAACTCCGTCTGCGTGGGGTTGTCCAACAAACATTCATCGTTGATCGAACAGAATGAACAAAAAACGCTACTCAAAATCAGAAAACCATAAATATAAAAACTGATTAAAATACTATAATGCATAATGTATAATGGGGTTATATCACAGGTACATTTTAGACTTTTTCAAAATGCTAGATTGTAGAAAACATTGTGTCATGGAGGGATCTGCACAGAGGGACAGGACAACGGAACGGACAACTGGGCTTAGTTCTGTTGGCCGTGTGCAGCTCCCCAACTCGTCTAAATGCTATGTAAGTAGTGGTGTGTAGTGTGTGTGTGTTGTTTAGTATGTATATATATATATATATAGGTTCACTGGGATTCAATGAAGTATATTATTCCTTGTTATAGAAAAGCACTAACCATTAAACATTGCAACTGCCGTTTCACTTGTCGCCCCTCAACTCTCTCCTTACTCAACTTCCCACAGGTTCGAGTCGGAGACAAGTGCTCGATTGTGATCGTAGATATGAAAGAGTTTTGCATACAAGTATATCGTAACGTATTCAGTATCGTTATTGTATCGCTATCAAGCCTATTGACTAGGACCGATCCGAAAGCCCCAAAACATGCTGTACAATTGTGTGTACTTTGGTTCTAACTACATACGTTTGTGTGTACTTGCTATGGCCTGATCTGGTTTATCTTCCTCTATAAGTTCCTTTGAGTACGTATTTTTAATGAAGTTCTGCTGGGAAACAGATCCCTGCTATCTAATGATTACTGTCTCACTTTTTGCGTTTATCAAGCAATATCTATCGTACAGCTCTGGCGTCTCTTAAGTACAAAGGTTTCTCATTTCCCCATGTGGGTGGGGGGAACTTTTCTGTGGTGCATGGATGGGGGAGCACTGTGCCTGTCTATGAGTCTCTACGCTGGTAGATGTGATAATGGAAAATTCGTAATTGCTAAAGCTGCACAGTGCCCCCATGATTGTGACAAGTGTGGTTTTGTGTTTTCTGAGTGTAGTACCCAAGATTCCACTACAACATGTTCATCTCATTATCTGTTTGTATCTATCTGTTCTCGACTTCTGAATCTTCTGAGATATTTGTTTTTTGAATGCAATTCTAATATTAGAAAGACAATTAGATTATATTGCTTAGCTGCCGGGAGAAACATGTTGCAATGGACTCTCGACAGTTGATGCAGAAACTTTGCGTTGACCCAGTCCCTAGACTGTTTCCAAGTTCGATATGAATGAAGAGTTAGACTAGATGCTATCTTTAATACTAATCCACCCAGTTTGGGAGGCCCAAATACTTTTTCCTTAGGTGTTCTTAGCAGTCATTTGTCGAGGCGCCGGTTCGCCCGCCTCTGCGTAAAGACAGGATCCCTCACTGCAGGAGCAGGTGTCGCCCTCGCGGGAACTATTGCAGCAGTCGCTGGTGTACTGCCTCTGCTCGTACTCCGCCAGCATGTTCTCATTCTCGCTCTCCAAGCAGGGCTGCACCGCCGGTCCTCGTCGGCGGTGGTGTCCACCGCGCTGTTTGCCACTGCTGCCATGTTCCTCCATCTGCAGCTGCCGTTTGTGACCCTGCGAGGTTCTCGAGTGGTCAGAGCACTCGGAGGAGCACTGGTAGATCTGGTGGCTGGAGGAGGTCGGATGCATCGGGTGACTGTTGGGATGCACCGGTTGGTACCAGCCCTCGGGAACGGGAACTGGCGGTGGGGGCTGCATGGGCGATGGCGTGGCCAACGCATCGCAGCTATTGCAGGCGCGGCTCTGGGCACAGCGCGTCGCATTGAGGCCAGCCTGGTACTCGCTGGTTGCATGACGCTGCGTGGCAAAGGGAAGGTGGTTGGGCGGTACTACTCCGCCCGGAGCTGCAGTGGCAAAGTAGGCCGGCAACTGTGGCGGATGCTGGTTGGTGGGCGTAATTTGGTATCGGTTCTGTGTGCCTCCAGCCACCGCCGATAGCGGATTGCTGTATACATTCTCTGGGGGACAGGCGACAGCATATTGGGGAGAGACTCCCCAAGCGGAAAAGCCGCCCGAGGAGCTGCTGTGTATTGAAGCGTTCAGAATGCTGCACGGAAATGGAAAAGTTAGATAAATTCTCTATTGATGGAACCAACTTTAAGGGGAGTTATTTCTTAGAGTTTAACTCTAACCTTTGGTTGGTGGAAATGCCTGAGCCCGCACTCTTGGAGCTCTTTCGCGAAGATTCCGGTGATCCCTGAGCATATCCGTAGGTTGAAGACGGCGGTGGATGTTCTGGTGGCGGAGGTAGGAACTCAGACCAGTTGATCGGCTCCACCGGGTACTGCAAGAAGTTTGATTTTACAACAGGAACAGCAGGAGCCTGACCGGGATATGCATCAGAATATGGCGAATGAGTTCCCGAGTCCTTGTCGGCACTCAAAGATGTGGCCTTGGTGCAGGTCTCGCTGGAGGAGGTTCCAATGATCATGGTTGTGGCATAGGGCGTGGGATTATCGGGACTCTGGAATAAGATTTCTTGTAAGTAAGGAAACTTGATGGAATGACTATGTCTATAAACCCACCTTGCGGCAATTGTAGAAGGTAGTGAGGTTACGGGTGTCCACTTCGGCGTAGTCGGTTCCTCCATCGGAGTTATTGTAATTCGACTGGCTGCTGTTTACGTGGGACAGTAGCTTTGATTCACTCAATCCAGAATCCTTGTCAGTATCTGCTGTTCGCCAGCCACGATGATGGTCTATCCACAGGCTTTCCTTGCTATTTATATTTAGTGCGGTTATCTCGTTGTCACTGACCACTAGAAAGAGATATTGTAGAATAGTATGTAGTATATAAATTATAGATTAAGTAAATAATAATATTGATACATGTTGCATAAGATTCACTTAGTAAAAACAAACACTTACCACTTAAGTGACCCAGTTCCTTGGTCATTTGATGCTTTCTCTTGAAGTACACCATTGATATAGCCGCAGAAATAACGAGGACTAGAAGAACAATGCAGACCAGCACCATAAGCCAGGGGCCAGAAAGGTAGTCTGTGGTCTTCCTATGAGTCGTGGGATTAATCTCGTTGGTGGGTAAATTGCCATTGTTGTGATAGGTGAGATCTTGACCCTCATGTCGGCCATCATGAGTGCCGCTGGGATGTGCCCGAGGCGGATGCACATGATGGGTGGGGTCCATAAAGAGAGATATCTGCGAGATAAAAGAAGATTATTAAGAGCCCAAAGCAAGCAATTAAAGAATTAACTTACCGGTTTTGAGTAGGGTCCATCCCCTGCCTTGGTAAAGGAGTTCAAGCGCACGCTGTACACGGCTCCGGTGGTTAGGTTGTTCAGAAGCACAGAAGTGGTGGTGGCGTTAAGGGTCATATTGGCTAGAACCTTCATGGTGTTCCCGGCACTAACCTCGATCTTGTAGCCATAAAGATTACCATTGTGGTGCTGGCTGGGTGGTGGCGTCCAACGCACCCAACCGGCGGTTTGGTTGTACATTCCAATCTGAATATTGTCGGGTGGTGCGGAGGGAACTACAAATGGAAAAATATTAGTGCTGAATAGTTAACTAATCTTCTTAGTGCTTACCATCTTCATAGGTGAGAGCAGTCTTGGAGTTGCTGGGCTGTCCTTCAATGGTCTCAAAGAAGGGCGTTAGGAAGAACTCGTACTTGGTGTACTTTTTGAGATTTCCCACCACAAACGATTCTGCGGAGACATCCATAACAGTGATCGAGTGATACTGCGAGGATGACAAACTGGAATCCTTATAGTGTATACGCAGGCCCTAAAAGAGATTGTAATCAGATGTTAGGTTTTGGGTTTGGTTAAGATATAAGAGATAGAACTTACCTCTACGTATTTTTCATCAGCGCTGACATGCAGCATCCATTCTAGTCTCACAGCACTGGCATTAATAGCTGAGGCATCTATAAGCTCCACGGACTGTTTAAGAAAGGAATAAAGTTAAGGATATCGATACACCAAGGGATCAGGATTCAATTTTCTCACCTTTCCAGTGAGTAGAGTTCGTGCTGCTGACAAATCATTGGCTGAAGCTGCATCGAAGTCCTCATCAATGGTTTTGATAGCATTGGAAAGGCCTGAGGGCACAGATATACCCTGCGTATTCTCCGCTCTAACCAAGAAGACATATGAAGTGCCAGGGCTAAGACCGGAGATCTGTATAAAAATAAAACATAATGTTAGTTTACAAGGTATTAAATTAATTATAGCTAATCTTACAGTCACTTGGGTGTCGCCCACACGATGGGCAGCCACAATCCAGCCGGTTTGCAAGTCCGGACTGAAGTACTCCACAGTGTATCTGTAAATCGAAAACAAATTTAATGATAATCTCATTGAATGGGTGTGCCGGCAAAACTTACCCAATGATTGGACCCACAGCACCCGGTTTCTCTTGGCTTTTGCCCCAACGAAGACTTATGCTGGTGCGGTTAACACTCAGGACTTTGGGTGTGCCTGGAGGAGCAGGATAAGTGCTAGGATCTGCTGCACGATGAAGAGATGAGGAGCCAGATTTGTCGACCTATCCAGGAGTGGATTCGTAAGTTAATCGGTTTATGGCTGTATGATTAATCCTCAAATTTACCGTTAAAATCGCTGACCAGGAAGTCTCTCCACGTTCCTCAGATGCAGTGCAAGTGTAGGTTCCAGAGTCACTATGTTGGAGATCTAAAACAAAAAACCCAATTAGAAGACATGTCAAAGACTACGACTTTAGTCAAGCTTACCATCTACTCGCAGTGAGCTGCCTTGGATAATGCTATACCGACTGCCAGTTTGCACCGCATGTCCGTTGTGGAACCACTTAATGCGGGGACTAGGATTACCCGTTGCACGACATGGCAAAGTGGCCACCGATCCTTTGGGCAATGTCTGATTGGCAGGTCCAATTTGAATAATAGGAGGCGGACGCTCGTCTACAGAGCTGACTTGAAGGAAAACTCGAACCGTGGAGGAATCTACCACACTAAAAGCGGAGCACACATAGAAACCTTCATCTTCCTGTCGCACATCCGTGATCTGCAGGGTTCCATCGGCAGCCACATGCTGCCGGCCATGAGAGCTGTTCGGGAACATGAGAGTAGATACTCCTTCCTTGGTCCAGAAAACTGAGGGCGGTGGGTTGCCGGAAGCCATGCAAGGCAGCTGGACAACGCCATTCAGTCCCACTTTCTTGTTGCTGGGTCGCTTGGTGAAGTTGGGAGGAGCTTTAATGGAATGAGCTTGAGATTAGATGATGATTCAGTGATTATAAATAATTCTTACCATGAACTGTCAGCGAAGCCCTTGCGCTTATCTGACCCACATTGTTGTGTGCCTCGCAGACGTAGGTCCCCTCATCGCTGGGCGTTATATTGGATATTTCCAGACTTTTCTCATCTTGGAGGATTCTAGCCCTGGATACAGGAATATTGCCCTCCTCCTTCTTCCACAGTACCTTTGGCGGTGGATCACCGCCCACTGAACAATGGAAAGTCGCAGTCTGTCCGTAAAGCATAACCTGATCCTTGGGCTCCTTCATGAAGTATGGTTTCACTTGGACAATCAGCTTGGCATAGCTGGATTCCCGAGTGCCAACGAGATTTTGTGCAATACACTTGTAGTTGCCCTCGTCAATGGGCTCCACATTGCTGATGAGCAGGTTGCCACCATCCACGATTCGAACTCGGGAGCTGGCGCCAAAAGACATGGCTTTCAGGTCGTCCAAGGGAACGCCATCCTAGGAGTACAAAAAGCAGTTTAGCTTTTGAGTTCGTTTGACTTTCGCAGTCTAGTTTTTGGTACCCACCTTTATCCAAATGAGCGTTGGCTCTGGAATGCCTTTGGGCGGCCCACACTCCAGCAAAGCCGTCTCGCCTTTGGCCACTCGCGTGTCTTTGGGCTCCACGCGAAAATCGTCGCGCAAAACTGGCAAAAGGAAAAAAAAATAATAAGAAAATCACAAAATAATCAGAGACAAAGCTTGGCGTGTGGGCAGACAAGTTGCAGACTGAAGTGGCGGACTAACTTACCAGCTATCTGGAGCGAGGCATGGCGACTAACGGCCTGGCCCACCCGGTTCTTGGCCACGCACCAGTACTCGCCGCCGTCCTGCTCCTTTTTGCCCTGAATGGTCCTGTAGAAGAAGAGGGCGCCGTCCTTGAACTGGACGCGGTGCGATTTCTTTTCGTTGGTGCTGACGGGTTCGCCATCCTAAAAATGGGAGGTAGAGGGGGAAATTGAGTTACGATTTGGTTAAGTTTGGGAGGGTACACTGAAAGAAACTAAGGTTATGCTACTAATATGTATTGAAAATGAAAGCGAATTTTGGTTTTGGTTTTTTAGTTTGAAAACTTAAATTTAGAATAACCTATTTTATTAATATTATATATTATAGCTCAAAGTTTCTTAAGAAATTAAAATTTTAATAAATTTGAGTAGGGAAATGTTGTCTTATATTTTGATTTTGTTTGCTATTTAATTTAAAAGTATTTATTATCGTTTATATGGAATATATGCTAATCAAAATTAATGAATTCTTTTGAATTTCGGGCGGATAAGCGTGCAAATATTTATAAATATATAATAATATTAAATCAAGTTGAAAATATGCGACATTTTATTGGGCAGAGGTTAGTGAACCCGGTGTCTTCTTATCAAAAACGGACACTCTCTGCCATATTATAAGTCCAATTTAAAAATGTTATACTATATTTTTCAAATGCAAATTTAAAAAAGAGAATATCAATTGCAATGCCAATAAGATAGACAAATCTTGTTTCAGTGTACTTTAATGGCCCAAGTGAGGTTTGAGTTCGAAAAGAATTATTCTGTGGGTACCTTAAACCACTCGATAGTGGGTTCCGGCTTGCCCTCCACTTTGCAGTTGAGTGTGGCGGGTTCATTCTTCTTGACGACCAGATCCGTGGGATGTTCAATGATGCGCGGCGATTGATACTGGCCTGCAAGGTGTTAAATGGGATGAAGGGATGTGGGTTAGCTAGGGATTCGATTCCTCTCAAAAGGTTCGGAGGATTACCTCTGACTGCTGGCAGGCCAGTGCTGGCCACCAGGATGAGGAGCAGCCAAGCAGGCAGGAGCAGCATCCTGCTGCCCCGACTGCGACAAGGATTAATAGTAGTATTGCTCGTGCTCCAGGCGATGGCGTGGTTTTCGGGAGTCATGGGATGCATTATGTGGTGGTGCTGTTGCGATGACGATTCTACAGATGACCCAATGCAGCGGAGATCATTTTGGCGTTGTTTTGGGGTCCTGAATGGATGGATGGATAGATGGTTGGTTGGCTGGTGTTATATACATATGTACATATATGGGTTAACGAAATGTGGGCAGCTGTTAGGATGGTCTGTTAGATAGGCGTGGCAGCATTATAGCGCCATTATAGCGGGGGCTTTGCGGGGTTTACTTGGTTTTTATCTGTCCAAAATTCGAAATTATTTCTCGCCTGCTCCACTTACGACTGCATTTCCATGCGATAAGCACACACACTTGGCCACTTTGACACACACGCACACACATTGGCAGTCAAACTCACACCCACATACATACATATGTCTATGCTGGTTTTCCATTAATTTTATTTCCGTATTTATCTCTCTCTGTGTGTTTATCTCCCATTCGAAACGCAACGACCAGCCCCGAAAATTTACAATCCAAATTCTGATTTGGAGTTTTGATTTCACGTTCTCACACTTTCTTTATAACGTTTTATTTTATTCGTTTTTAGTTCTTTACTTTTCTTTTTTGGGTTTTTATTAATCAGCCGCGCAGTGTAAGTTTTTGTTGGTATTTATTCGTCGTCGATTGCTCGCTTTTCGGGGTTGTTTTCTCCATCAGCTCTCCTCGCGCACATTTTCCACATTTCCCGAACGAAATTTCTTTTTGGTAAAATTACAAGAACAAGAACCCACTCCCCATCTCTCGCTCGCACACGCACTCACTCCCAATATCACTCACGCTCTCCCTTTCGCACTGCCTGTCGTTCCTGGGACTTCCCCCCGTTCCGCTTGTTGTTGTATCTATAACAGAGTATGTTGTATCTATAACTCCTTGTAATATTTGCGTTACATCCGCAGCAGCTGCACTTTGTAAAGCCCGAAATCGGGACACTCGGTTTAAGTAGCCTCGCGGTTTAGTCACTGATTAACGGAGCCTGAACTTACTTTAATTTAGCTGCTGCAAATCAAATATTTTCCTGCGTTTTTAGTGCGATTCACGGCGCTGGGAAAACTCAATTGGTCGTGGGTGTCGTGTCTGAGGAAATCTGAGAGCGCAACGTCCGGAATTGGAATGTAAAGGCATATTGGAACGATTGACTTTGATGGAACGGGCAAGGGACCCGACTTGAAATACTAAAAAATACTATACTTCTATCTTTTTTCGCTGATCTGGCAATATCATGAAAGCCACTGTTTGAATTTGAAATTTTCTTCGCGGGCGATAAATTTTGTAACGCCAATGAATAAAAATTTATTTTTTTTTATTTATTTGATATATGGTTTGAATAAGGTTATATATATTTATTGTTTACTTGTACTTTTACTTATTACTATAGGCGGCAGTTTGTATATGAATAAAAATGTATAAATCGCATTTTTGTAGTAACGTTTTAAGCCTAAAAGTAAAGTTTAATCAAAAACTTTTAAAAATATTTATGATTTGATTAGATGACATGCTTATAGGGAGGCATTCTTATTGCCTAAAGTTGGACCATTTAAAAATCTTTGTTTTTTGACTTAATTTCTCAATATTGATTTAAATTTAACCCAAGTCAATCTTAAATATTTAATTTTATTTAATTTAACTTCTAAGGCCTAGTCCATCCTTCCTCTAACCAGAGTCCTTGACCGCACCGCATTGGAGAAATTAGCATCAAAGGCCGGCGCACGATTTCTTCCCGGGTGAAAATGGAAAGTGGGCGGAGTGTTGGGCGGTGGTGGTCGACGACCAGTGGGCAGGGCACTTTTCACCTGCTTGGGTTGAAGCTGCAGGCGCGCCACCCTATCCACGGACATGCTCTTGGGCCGCCGGGCCAGATAATTGTGGATGTGACTATTGGAGCCATGGGCAATGTTCAGATTGACCAGGTAATCCTGCAACTGTGCCTTCAGCTGGCTGTTCTCTGCCTCCAGGCGACGCTTCTGCTGCTTCAGGCAGGCCACGTCCACAGCGACGTTGTTGACCCGCCGCCAGAAGGTCTCCATTTGTGGGACAACGGCAACCTCATCCTGGAAAGGCAAAATAATAGTCAGGTATGGGTCATTATTAAAGTAGTTTAATGATATTTGAATGTCTTTCACGCCTAGTTTATAAATCACCTTAAGAAGATCTGTGCCTGGATCAGAGAAAACTCCATTATCTTGATTCTCTACCTCGCGTATCTCTACAACCTCGCGGGATATTTCAGGCAGCTGGAACATCCTCTCCCGTTGGGTTTCCATCTTGGCACAGACCGCAGAGAGTTGAACCAAGGTCTCGCCCTTATTAGCAGTCTCTTGGAGTGACTCCAAGGCATTGTAACTCTCCACAGACATCAGCTTAAATGCCTGGTGATCCCTGGCCACCTCCTGCTCAACACAAGTGCGCAGCTCCCTTAAGCGTTCAGTCAACTGCTGTTTGATGGCTTGCCTCTGCTCCAGCTGTCCCTGCTGCTTAATGTAAAACTCCTCGGAGACCAAACGCAAATTGGCCAATTGGTCCACAAGGTTCTCGATTTCGTGGGTCTGCTGGCTTATCTGGAGTGCTGCCTCTTCATCGCGTTGCTTAAGATCCACGTACTCCGCGTAAAAGCCTTCTATGTGCTGACAATAGCCAGCCAGAACCGACTGGTACTCCTGCCACAGCTTCTCCAGTCGAGCTTCACCTCTGGAGGTGATCTGCTCCAGCTGCAGTTGCATCTGGAAGCAGAGAATTTATTTGTTGTAGCTTGTCTTATTACAGTTTTATGTGGCATTTCTGTAAATTTCATACTTTCAGTTTATAGTGCAAATTTTACTTCTTCTAGTTTTGTCTTAACTTCATAAACGGATTTCAGCGTATCATTTATTATGATGTTTGAGGTCTCTTACTATTAAGTTACCCTAAATATCTGTTATTAAGTTTCATAGAAATACTGAAAAGTAGTTCAAGCTTTTGTGTTAATGATAAATCAAAGGAAAATATTAAAAAATTAATAAAAAAACCGCCATCAAATCAGCACGCAATTCCAAAACGAAGATTGATATGCGACTTGGATCATTGTGTGTCACTCAGTCTGCAATTTTGCATGTCACTCTCGTGAACTATAAATAATTTTGGATCAACTAGCTGCTCCAATCAGTTCCCGAGATGCGCTTACTGATCGTTCTACTGATTTGCCTGAGCTGCTGCTCCTACTCCATATTCGGTCTCAAGTGCCGATCCCAGGAGGGATTGGGTGAGGCGGAGCTAAAGAGAACAATACGCAGCTGTATGCAACGTCAGGACGACAGCGAGGATCGAGGCCGAGAAGGGCAGAGCAGACAGGGGAGTACCTATGGATTCGATTACGGACGTGATCAAAATGATGAGGATAGGGATAGAGATCGAAATCCAAACATCATGGGTGGCTATAACAACCGCAGGCAAAGAGGTCTAAGGCAGACGGAGAGCAGGAACAACAGTACAGGCAGCAGCGGCGGACAGTGTGTGGCCCAGTGCTTTTTCGAGGAGATGAATATGGCATGTATTCACAGTTCTTTGGAAATACTCCAGGGGATTCCTATCAGCTCAATCATCTAATCTATAAGGATAACTTCTTCCTCACAGGTTGACGGCAATGGAATGCCCGATCGCCGCAAGGTGAGCTATCTGATGACCAAGGACCTTCGGGATCGGGAGCTGCGCAACTTCTATGCGGACACCGTGCAGCAGTGTTTCCGATATTTGGAGAACAACAGCAGGAACAGGCATAACAAGTGCACCGTCTCCCGGGAGCTGGTCAAATGCATGTCGGAATACGCTAAGGCGCAGTGCGAGGACTGGGAGGAGCACAAGAACATGCTCTTCAACTAGGAATAAACTTACCCCACTTTTTAGGTCCTCGCAGCGATCAAGGAAGCGTTCGTGGTTGTCCCTAATTCCGCCATCGGTGCTTTCCTCCAACTGATAAAAAACGCACTCGAGTTGCTGCTGCTTTTGGGCATGCATTTCTTTAAAACCGGAGGAGTCCTGTTCCCATTGGCTTAGCACAGCTTGCTTGTCGTCCTCGTAGATCCTTCGGAAGAACTCAATCCGATCCTTATGGGTGTCTAGGTTTGGGAATGGGATTAAAATTGTTAGTGTATAAGGCTTATGGCTTGGGTTATTAACTTATATAGATTATTGTATTTAGAAATTCTCTATTATTGCCCATTTTTATAGATTTCCCAATAATAAATCGGTGTTTTCCAACGGAAATCCCAATAGTTTCGGTGGCATGACACCATGATTAAATAAATACATTAAATGCCTGAACAAATCGGAAATAATGGTCATTAAACACAGTAATTAAACACAATGTTTGTATGTGTTAATTCTAAAAGTTTTCCTCAATTAAGTTTCCCATTGATTTATTTTTACCCTGATCTCAGACATACCAACGATTTTTGTAATGTTTTCCATATGCGATTGCTGCAGATTGGCGTACATATCCTCAGTGGATTCAATGTGAGCAATGAGGCGATGGATCACCTGGTCCTTGCGCTTCAAAGCCTCCTGAAAGAAGGACTCCACGTCGACAATTTCGCGTCGCAACTCTTGGATTTTCACCTGACGCAAAATGCTGCGCCACTCCTGGTTGATTTTGGCCATGTTCAAGCGGCCAAAAGCATCCTCCCTTTTAAGTTTGTTCTATTGGGAAAAAGAAAAACCAATTAAGAGCTTTTGTAGTGTTTTAAATTCGGAGAGTGATACCTTCATGTACATGGAAATAAGCTGCATCTTCCGGCGTCTCGTCTCCTCTTCCATGTCGGCCCTCATTTGCAAATACCGGGCACGCTCCTCTTCGGACATTTTGGCCAATTTATTGCCTTTTCCTTTACCCTTTTTACCCATGATTCTGTTTTTTTACTGCCTTTTACAGCCAAAAATCTGCTTATCAAATTTCAAAGGCCAATCTCTGACTAATTAAGCGAGTAAAAGCCGCGCCTCGGAAAATAAATAACAAATTGATTGCCGGCGTTGTCATGGCAAGTCTCACTAGCCCACCCACCCGTCGCCAGGTTGGTTGCCATAATAATGGATGTGAATTAAATTAATGCGAAATATTGCAAAAGCCCATTAGGGCTGTCCATCAAAGGGGAACCATTTGACAAACATACTAACTATATATAAAACTGTGGCTAAAACGCTGCTAGTCTGTCATCATGCTGAGAGCTGGCTTTGTGATTTGTGTGATTTTGGCACAGCTTTCGGTATGTATTTATTTCAGCGATTACAATTTGGCATTGCATACTAAAATATTATTGTAGTACCAACTATTAAGGGTACTTGTAAGCTAGAGGAATGATGTTAGTTTCCTCTGATTCCAAATCTTTCCCTTTGCCCTATTCCTTTTGTTTAGGGTGGACCCCTTGCTATCCGCATTCATTGCCGTCACACGGAGAGTATCCATGAGGAAAACATTCACCACTGCTGTAAGCATCCTGATGGCCATAACGATGTTACGGAAATGTGTGCTAAGCAGACCAACTTTCGCCTGCCGAATCCCAATGAGGAGGCCATGGAAGATGTGACAGTGGACCAGGCCATGGTGGGAACCTGCTGGGCCAAGTGCGTTTTCGATCATTACGATCTGATGGAGAACAACACCCTGGATATGGTTAAGGTGCGATCGTATTACAAAAGGTATCATTCGACGGATCCGGAGTATGAGACAGAAATGCTGAGTGCCTTCCGAAAATGTCACACGAAATGTAAGTCGAAATGTTAGAAGAAGTTAAGTATTTAATTTGTAATTTCCATTTTTAGCTGAGGATGCCACTGAACAGTTTCTTTCACTTCCGATTGTTAGGGCCTTTGCAACTTCTAAATTCTGTAAACCAACCTCCAGCATTATCATGTCCTGTGTTATCTATAACTTCTTTCATAATTGTCCCAAGAGTCGTTGGTCTAATACCACCGAGTGTGTGGAAACTTTGGCCTTTGCCAAGAAGTGCAAGGATGTCCTAACGACGATGTGAAAGAACTGCTACTATGTGAAAATATGGTGAAATACAACGTTGTTAGTTCAATAAATAATAAATAATAAATTAACATTCAATCATAGAAAGAAATTTTAGTTAATCAATTGAAAGTACTGAGCAGACTCAAGGAAACCAAATGCCTTTCAAACTAAAATTTTCTAAAATAGTTGGGGGATACAAATCAGATTATATTAGTTTTAAACGTTTCTTAATCCATTCTGTAAGCTGGGTTATATAATATAATATTATATATAATAAATATAACTAACTAGAGTGCCTCGGAAGTCACTATGTTGTCCTTTGAACTAAAGAAAATATTTAAATAATAAACGCTTACAGTGGAGCTTTTAGTGTCCTATGTTTATGGGTTCATTAAAAGCAATTTAAGTAAAGAAAAAGAAATATATTTCAAAAATTTAATGTTCTTTATTATCAAAAACTAATTACAAAGTAGCCAGCGAATCCTGGCACTTCCTGCTAAAAGCCAAGGTATCCTCGCACTCCTTGGTCTTGGACCAACGATCTGCCGGGCAGTTGTGGAAGAACTGACGGATCACGCAGGCCAGGACGACACTAGACTTGGGCTCACAGAAGTGCTGGGACATCTGCTTGAAGAGAGGCTTCGACAAGAACAAGGAGGTATTCTCTTCACCTTGAAAACAGGTAGTAGGTAAATTAAGATCCTTTAAACCTTACATCTATTACGTACTCTTGCCATGGCAGTGATCGAAGGCGTTGATCATTTCCTTGACATATTCCGGATCGTCGAAGAACTTGTCAGTGAAATACTTTCTCACGGCATCCATGTCCAGCTCACTGTCCTTCATGAGATTGAGTTTCTTAAAGACACATTTGCCAAAGCAAGTGCCTCGAATGGCCTGGTCAGCTGTGATGTCCACCAATGCCTCCTCGTTCTTATTGGCCAGCATGAAGTTGGTCTCCTTGGCACAATCCTCGATTATATCGTTGTGTCCATCGGGATGTTTGCAGCAATAATGGATATGCTCCTCCTTGATGGAGTCCGGGTTCTCGCAATCAATTTTAATGCCTCTGGCGAACTAGGAAATAAATTTAATATTTTTCTTTTATTTAGTTTAAAAACTTACCCAAATTAGGCTGCAAAAAGTGTAAAGAATAACGCCCTTCATTGCTCTGAAGTTTCTACTAAATTCAGCAAACTTCACCTACTTATATACTGGACATCACTATAATTAAAATAAAATCAGGAAATTGCCTTCAATTTAACAAATGTCCAACCATCCGCTACCTGCAAATGTTATTTTCTGCGCTCATTAATTTTCCGTCATTACTACAGAAATTTGTTACATTTAATTAAGCAATCCAATTTGGATTTTAAATTGATTTATCCGAATAATGAGGGCGCATGATTTTATAAATATTATGGCAATGTTAAATAAATAACATTCGGAGAGCGATGGTCAAGTTAAGTTATTGTTGGGCGGTCCTAGTACTGGTGGCCATTGCAGAAGCGCAGGAATCCGATGAAACCGAGTTGGTGGACAGTTCTGTAGATGACTTGACTGAGGATAAATGCAACCATAAGGTGAGCTAGATTGGGAAATTGTAATGATCCAAATATTATAGTTTTTTTGCTTTCATTTAGAGAGCTGGCTGCTGCTCTGAGCTCTACATTGGAGATGAGGAGCAGCTGGTTAAATGTTTCGCCATACACTCGGCCAAGTTACCGCCGGAAGGGGATAGTGACATAGGCATGACTCTGAGGTTTCTGTCGGTAGGTAAATTTGAATAAGTTTAACACTTTGTAAGTTAAGTTATTGACATTAAGATGGTCTTTTAACCTTAAACAAAAAGTAAATCCAAATACTTTTCAGTGCTTTGTGGAGTGCATTTACAAGCAAAAGAAGTACATTGGCAAGGGTGACACCATTAACATGAAGATGGTCAAGCTGGACGCGGAGAAGATGTATGAGAATCGTCCAAAAGAGAAGGAGTACCACATCGAAATGTATGAAAGCTGTCGGAAGGATGCAGTGGGAGTCTATAATATCCTAAAAGCCAGTCCGGGAGCTAAGGTTCTTCTCAAGGGCGCTTGTCGTCCCTACCTGCTGATGGTGTTCATGTGCATGAGTGACTACCATCAGAAGCACGAGTGTCCCTACTTCCGCTGGGAGGGCAGCAAATCGGCGGGAACAAAGGATACATGTGAGGATGCCAAAGCCAAGTGCTATGTGATTGATGGAATAACACTGCCTGCCAAGAATCCTGCCTGAAAATATTGATTGTGGATAAGGTCTTACTAAACTGAATTGATTACATATCAGCTGCGTTATGTCATCAAATATATATGCTTTACTTTAATAGTATGGATGAGAATGAGGCATAGCTCAGTATGTCTTTTAGTTTTAATCACACATCAAACACAAATTATACGCACTGATGACTGAGTTTGACGTTCGCTTGGCTGAAGTAGCGGACCTGGACAGGATTAACAGGCTGATCCGATCGCCGGGTGCCAAGTGGTTCGGCAATATCCGTCCGAAATATCGGGGCAAGGAAAGCCTCTTTCATTCATATCAGACTTACAGGATCTTAGCTGTAAACAGGGAATCCTCTTCCTTGGTGGCCTATGCCGAGTTCCGCAATTATCCGTCCATTGCCGCATTGCCCTCAGATTGCTGGCTAGAATGGCTATCCGTTAGATACTGGTATCCGATAAATGCAATCCATATGCTACACAGTGGAATATAACATATTCCTCCATTAGTTTAACCTTGTCCATCAGCTGGCTGAATACTCTGTTCTTCAGCTTTTGCATCTACAAGGCTGATCACTCCGAGGCTCTCCTGGAGATTATCAAGGAGGTGTTGTACAGGGAGAACAGGGTGTGGTATCTAATTGCTGTCAAGACTCCTGCTGTTCGACAGCCCCACCACTTCATTGAGACCTTCGACGATCTGGCAAAGATATCCCATGTCTTCTATCCGCAAGAGTATAGCTTGGAGAACAACAGTGTTACGCAGTCCTTATATATCGTCGATCGGTTTGACCTGCTGCCGAAAATTACCTACCGAAAGGCACTGTAAGTAATATTCGGTAAATATTCTATTTAGTTAGCTTCCTATTCGACTAACTCTTAAATAATAATAACTAGTTTATGCAATTAACTCCTTAAAAACACTTTTATTTAAGAGCCGAGGATAACGATGATGTCGTTGCCCTTCAAGAGGCTGAGATGCCCGAACTGCGAGTCGAGTTGGGCGACTACTACATAGCCGAGGAAGTACTCCGACAAGATGCCGAGGCCACGAAGAGCATGTTGATCGTGGCCGAGACCACCAACCAGTGCCAGGAGACAGAACTGTCGATCTTTATGTGGCTGACCACAGGAATAGACATCCTGTTCTATGTAAAGAACTACGAGATGGAACAATTTGGGAACCTAGTGAAACCCGTGGATGGGAAGTCGTTCCACTACGAGACAATGACGGTGTCGTAAGAGATCCATTCATTTGTGGACAAAGTACTTCCTTATCAAAAATATTCTTTAGATCGGTTCAGCGAAAGGCAGAGGCTAGCATGTTCACCGGCGATGCCCTGGACGATCTGGATGCGATGACGATTCTGGGAGGCCTGCAAAAGGTTGATAGCGGTATGAGGTGGGGTAATATTTGTAAAATTAATTTTAATACTTAATATTCAAAGCTTTATCCCAACAGCGTGGCCAGCTTGGGCAAGGTGAAGGTGAGCTCCATTGGTGGCACAATCGATGATACGAATGCGGTCGAGGCGAACAAGTTCTACATGCGGGAATGCCTGTTCGCTAAGTTCACCTACATCCTTGAGAGTGAGTATAACTTTTGATCCCAATGTTCGGTATATAACTTGGCTTTATCTAGAACTTCACAGCACCGAATACTATTTGCGGCGCGAAGAAAATGTAATTAACTTCATATATCCTGTTGGAAAAGAGCCTTCTGGTGCGGCAGCCAGGGAGGCGGCATCAAACGTCTTCCTCCTTAAGTGTATTACTGCCCAAAAGGACTTTCCGCTGCCACGCCTCTTCAACGCTATGGTTGCCATGTTCTGCGCATATCCGGATAGGGACTACTGCATGATGCTGATGAGCTCCACGAACCAAGCCAGCAAGAGCTATCTGGAGGTGTTGCAGTACTTTTTGGTAAATAAATCCAAAAATTTTTTGATAGTTTAATAGTAAGGAGGCCTAAAAGTCTTCAACATAAGACTAACCGTTAAAAGAACGTATTATCGAATAGTTTCCTACATTAATTATTCACCTTCAGCCCGTTGTCACAAGACCCAGCAGCTTGTGTAACCTGGACGAGGTGTACATAACCCATCGAAGCACCATCTTTGGGGAGATAAGCCTGTATAAACTGGAGAAGGAGGATGTGTCCGTGGTGCATCACTTGGCATTGGGGAACTTACCCAATGAAGTTGTTACCTCCGACTCTAGTGGCACCAGAGTCTCTTACTGCTCCAAGGTGGATGAGCGGGCGGACATCGATCATGAGCTTCATACTCTCGATGCCATTATGAAGGATGTGCTGGAGAATGAGTTCAGTGAGTTTGCGGTTTTTACGATTCGGTGTGGAAACTCCACAAAATCGGCCAGGGAAAATACTTCGATTGGGTTTGTGGTTCTTCGACAGTTCCACAGCCATGCCAAGCTCTTAGAACATTATGACCTGCCCATGCATGACAACCATTTGGAACGACGAAGGGCCGAGATTATATCACTGCGACTTCACCCTCTCTTTGTGGTCGGCGCCGATCTGATCTTCAGGGATTTGGCCCGGAAGACCAATTTTTTCGACTTTTACTTCATTAGTGCTTATCATGTAAGTTAATATTATATATTCCTGGGTACAGTTATAGGCCCTATAGAGATACTCTGCAGGGTCAAAAGTACACTAATGACCTAAAGAAAATGATGATGGTCGTAGAGCCGAGGGCTATTAAAAAGGCGCCGGTGTACGTTAGAAGTCTTACAGATCAGAAAAAAGGAAAGTGCCGGTTGAATCTGCCAAAACCAAATTTTGCCACGGATTACCTCATTATATACAGGCATAAACTAAATCCTGTCCAGTGGTTCTCTAACAGCAGGAAACTGGTCATCATCGGTTTCAGTTCAACAACCAAGGCCCTTCTGCGCCAGCTAGTTTTCCAGTGGAATACAAAGGAGTGAGTTGATATGAGGTGACCTAAATATATTGGGGTAAAAAATCATTTTATTTTCAAATTCAATTTAGTCAGAAGCACCCGGAAAACTTCACCTGCTTGAGTAGGCTTCAAGTGACCGTGATATGTCGTGGGGGAATTGTGGAGGCGGAGTACGACAGTCTGTTCAAGTGTCCCTACTGTACAAGCAATATTGGATGTTACCTGTCTTCCCAGAACGATTCCTGCTACATACAAGATTGCTGTGTACGCCTGGACTTGCGGTACTGGGTGCACTTTGTGCCAGGAAAGGTGAAGCTGGTGAATAGGTAAGATAACTATAAGATAGTAGATATCGATATAAGGATTTTCATTGCAATACAAAAAAATACAGAGCGAAAAAGATCGTGAAAGTGGACTCTTGCGAGATCCACTACGACACGTTACTGATAATGTGTGACCGGCTGTTCGCCCTCCAATCTCAGAACATGCCGGCGTACACGACGAGGCCCAGCAACCTCGTCGAGATCAACTATCGGCTTAACAGGCTCCTGCTTTTCTACAAGGTCAGGACACTCTTGGAGGATGTGCCGCGATCGTACTTGATTTTAGTTTATGGCTCCAATCTGTCGACTTATGAGTGCATTGCCTTTTTGATTAGTCATGGAGTGGATTGTTCGCGTTTAGTTTTCGTCCAGCCACATCGATACACTGGCAAGGATCAGGATACAAAGGAAAAGAATCCCTACTGGGACAAGAATCTGCAATTAATCCTCGACGACATTCTCACCGATCAAGGCGTCACTATATATACAGACTACGACTTTCACCACTATAACGTTCACCAGTCGACCAACTTCATTATGGAGGCGATATTTCAGCATTTTCCCAGTCGCAAACAGATAACCTTCGAATGTGATATCTTTTTAAACTTCGGGGAGGGTCATCTCCACCATCGGCACAAGCTATGTGGGTAACCTTTAGCAGAGTTTTAGTAAAACAGAATATAAGAAATTATAGAAATTACCAAACCCCCAGGGCTTAAAGCTGCTGACATTAAAATGGACGGCAATGATATCCTGGTAGACCAAAAGTACAGGACCAATGATCCCAATATCTACGCAGTTGGCAAGTTTATCAAAATGCATCACAAGCCCAACTATCAGTACAAGTTTGTCAGTCAGCGCGAGATCGCTCGGAAGGTGGGTAATACATTCCATCTGATATTAGCTTAGCATTTGATTTACAGGTTTTACACAATTTGGGCATTGTCATTGAGAAAGATTTCGAGGATCGATTTAAGGAACCAGTACTCTTTCAGGCTATCCTTCCGCTCCGTTACTTCATCACAAAAGTGACCATGCCACGGAGATATCTTCGAACACAGTTGCCTGTCACGGAAGTTTGCAATTTGACCACATATAAGAACAAAACCTTCTGTCGGGTAGGACTATCCACGCAAATGTTGGTCGATGAGATCGTGGTTGTGACGAAAGAAGTGAGGTTTTTCTATTACAATAAAAAAAGTATTACCCACTTATTTCCCACATTAGGAGTGCCAATTGGACTTCTTGCAGCACTTCTGTGGCAAGCATGAGTTGCTTCTAAACAAGCTCAAGTCGCGCTATAAGGCGAAAACGATTAAATGCTTTCTGAAGTTCTTTCAAGAGTCCTGGACAGAGTTGATAATGCACGACAGCTTCATGGACCTGCAGGCGGAGAATAAGGAATTGCTTATGCCCATGGCTCTTACGGCTCTATCAGTGGGTCAACTAAGACCTAATAAACGATATATAGTTACCAAATTATTACTTTACAGCGCGTAGATCGAGTTGCCTTAACCGATGTAACCGATTTGGATTTCTTTACGCTGAATAAGCGCTACATAGAACAAAAACTTCTGACCTTCCTGCGGGAGCATCGACGAGACTTCAATCATAAGTTTGCCTTACCCGAGGACTTCCTCAAAATTGATCTACCTGAGTGGGAGCAAGTCATGGAAACGAAGGAAGAAAATGATGAATCATCTGACTCGACAGAGTCATAGCAGTCCGCCTCTCAACTCTCTGATTTCCTTGAGCAGTGCTCCAACTACATTTACACGTTCTACTAATTTATTTCTTTTTTTCATAAAAATGTCCACCAGGCAGGGCAATATTTTAATCGTTACAGCGGGGGTACGGGATCTGCCACGCCTAGAGGATCTATACGAGGCCAAGAACACTTGGCACTTTGGCGACAAGGAGACGGCGCCACTGGAAACCCTGTTCTTTAAGAATCAGGCTCAACGACTTTTGGTATACAATAAAGATGAGTTTAATAATTTGCTGGCCTACAGCGAGTTCGCCAACCATCCAAGTATTCCGGTGCTTAGCAACGAACTCTGGCTGCACTGGCTCAATGTGCGGTTTTGGTAAGTTATGAATTGGCATTATCGTTAAGTTCCCTGATGTGATCTCCTTCCACAACAGCATAGAATTTCCCATTACGTTACTCAATTCCATCTTCTTTAACTTCTTCATCTGCAAGGAGGGCAAGCGAGATCTTCTCAAAAAGATTATCTTGGAGGTCTTTTACAATGAACACTTGGTCACCTACATGATCGTGGTCAAGCCGCCGAATTGTCCGCGAGGCCAATACGATGCTGTTCAAGCCTTTGGAAAGACCTTTTACCCTAAGTTCTGCAAAGTCTCAGAGCAGAAGAATCTTCCCGCGGTCATCGTTATCCAGCGAAAGAACATCATGCCAGTTTTATCCTTTCGCAAGGCGCTGTGAGTTGGACTATGAAGAAGTGTATATATCCTTTATTGCTTTCTTTTCCTACCAGACCCGAGGACAATGACGACATTGTCGAGATGATAGATTCCGAGGATCCGGAACTGAGGAGAGAACACGGCGACTTTTACATTGCAGAGCACCTGCTGAATGTGGATGGATCTAAAAGGAATGACAAGATTATAATTGCCGAGGTGCGTAGGATTAGTTTTTATCATTTGCTGTTAATTCGAAATGATTTTCCAGTTTGAGGAGGAGATCGCAGATAATGTCAAGGGAGCAGGCCTAATGTGGCTGTCGGATTCCATTGATATTGAGACGCTGGCTACAAACTTTCACTTGGAGCGTTTGAGCAACTTGACGCGGTATACACCAGGGGTTAAGCACATTCGTGCATACTTTGATGTATTGTAAGTGGTTAGGATGTCTAAGAGTAGAGTTATTATCCTTGAATACTTTTATTTTAATAGCTCAGTGGAGCACAGTTCAACTAAGGAGTTCTACACTAAGACACAGATGGACAAGATCTATAAAATGCATGAAAGTAAGATAGACCAAGAATGTGATGGAAAAACTGAAGCGAGGGATGTTTTATTCGGAAAGTACAAATACGTTTACGAGGGTGAGTACTAGTTAAGTAACAAAAAAATCGTATAAAAAATATAAAATATATAGAACTGCGCAAGGGAATCTACTATATGAAAGCACATCAGGACAAACTGGAGATAGCTTTCGATTTGCCACCTGGGGAGCACTCGCACAACGTAAATAAGATGCAGTATCTGGAAAAGGCGTCTAATGGATTCCTGCTGAAGTTGTTCCAATTGCATCCACTGGTACGCTATGAGTACACCTATTACTCTTTGTCGGCCATGTTCAGTGCTTTTCCTGATCTTGACTACTGTGTTACCATGGTGCCTGCCACCTCATCGACGAGTCCTTGTCAGCGAGAACTGCTTCGATTCTTTTTGGTAAGTAATAATTATATAAAATGTTTTCGAAATAATTTTTTTTACATGTTATCCTTCAGCCGGTTGCCCATCGTCCTAGTAGCTCCGTGACCGAAAGTCTCTTTGTTGCCCATCGAAGTACTTTGTTTGGTGAACTCCGCGTGCAACGCGTCGAGAGACAGGAAGTTGATGAAATCAGGACTATGATATGTTTAAAGTCCTCCAATAGGGATACGCTTATTGACCACGACGATAAGGATTACGACGATTATACAGAGACAGTCCTAAGCGTTTTTGATGGTATCATAGCGGATATTCTAGACAATTCCAAGACTGATCAGAGCTGTTTCACCATACGTTGCGGTCAGTCCAAGAAGCACACCGACTGCCCCTTGGTAGGATTTTTGATTTTAAGGTGAGCTTGACATTCCCGAAGAGCTGCAAGAACATAGATGTCGAATACAGTTGATTTTTTGACTGATTTAAAGATTACTTTTTTAAAGAAATCAAAATATTATTTGTAGTAAATAATTCACTGAGACTGCTTTTAGTTTTTATTCCATATTCTCATAGCACCTACGATTAAGAGCGAAAAGGAACTTCGATAAAAGAAACTATCGAATTTCAATCTCTTGTTTTGCAGCTCTAAAACTTTTTGAATTTATTTCCTAACCTAATCCTCCTGTATCCTAACCTTCAGTCCCTTTTTAAATTACGATGATATAAGCAAGGTATTTATGATGCCACGCGATGTGTTCTCGCTAACGCACAAGCGTGGGGAGATTGTCATGTTCAGGCTGCACCCGTTCTTCCAGATGTGGTGCACTCCGATCCTTCGCACGGTGGCTTTGTACGAAAATTTCCGAGAGTTGTATTACATACACTATTTCAATGTGTGTTGGTTTTGAGCTTCACAATTTGGAAAGAACTAATCTTTCGATTTGTAGGGAATCTCACTGCCCAACGATCTGATGTACAACATGATGCCTGTGGAACCGCGCCGCATGAAGAAGAACTTGTTCGATTACAATTGCTCCTCCTACAAGCGTCGGGGCTCAAAGGTGACGTACAGTACCACTGTAGATATCTGCACCAGTCGCATGCGTCTCTTTTGCCACAACCTGAAGCCCACCATGCACATGGGTGGCAAGAATTCCCTGGTAATCGTAGGTTTTTCTGAAACTTGTCGTGCCTTTCTCCGAACCATCATCTTCGCCTGGAATTCTAAAGAGTAAGATGATTCATTTTTATAAATCAGGATATTAAAATCCTGATTTTGCAGATAGAAAAACTAACTTAACCTTTATACCTCCAACAGTTTGATAAACTTTAGCAAGTACAACTGCCTTCCCATGGTGGACATCACTGTGCTGGCAAGTCCTGGCGTTGTAGAAGCGGCCTACGATTGTGAATTTTCATGCAGCTCTTGTATGAATGGTCGTGACTGCTATATTGACACTGGAAACGTGAATCCCTTTGTTAGGGATACAATGCATCGCATGGACGTAAGGCATTGGGTGCGATTTGTGCCTGGTGTTCTCAAAAAAATAAGGAGGTGAGTGTGGTTTGCCCTTAACAAGTTTAAGAGAATATGAAAATAGGTAGTACTAATGCTTTAAATAACTAATTTTGATTTCTGTAGACTCCAGGTTAACTCTTATTTCCTTTCATCATCCCTAACAGGCAGGAAAAGACCCTGGAGCTTTCGGACGGTTGTAATCTGCGATATGAGAAGCTGGTGTTAATGGCTGCCACGAGGTTTGGTTTTGAGGATAAGGAATTTAAGGGGCATCCGACACCTTTAAACTATATAACCAATAATAATCGCCTGGACAGGATTATTTTCTACCACAAGGTGCGTGAGCTGGTGGACACGCTGGAATCCTATAATGTTATACTCTATGGATATAATCTGTGCGTTTACGAGTGCGTTAACTTTCTGGTCACGCATGGTTGTAATGCCCAGAACATCACGTTGGTCAAGCCCCATATACCGCTTGGATTTGAGGACTTGGGTGATCCTGAAGTGGACACTCTTCTGGATCCGATAATCCTGGAAATGGTTGCCGATCTGGGCGTCACGATCCACCTATCGACCAATTTCAGCGAGTTTATTCTAAGCCAAGACAATACGTTAATCGAGCAAGTGGAGTTCATAACGCATCCAAGAAGGAGAAAAATCCAGCTGAACTGCGATCTCTTTGTTAACTACCTGCAGAATACTTTAAGAACGTCAATGGAGGATGGTGAGATCTATCCTGATCATGGCTACTATCTATCTAATATCTCTACCTTACCAGTTCTCTCTGATGCAGGCATTGAGATGTATGACAGGAGGGTCGTGGTCAATGCACGTTATTGCACTAATGATCGTAACATATTCTCTGCGGGTAAGAATATTATCATGATTCCCAAGCCAAACTTTCAGTACACCAATACCAGTCCGCAAGAAATGGCTGAAAAGGTGAGTCCACATATACAGTTTCAATTTTGACATCCATGGAGCCATCTTTGTTCCATCCATTAGTTGGCCTATGAACTGAACATGATCAAGATGGTGATGCAGTCGAGGTACTCAAGGCCGTACATGTTTACTGGCATGCTGCCAATGGGCTATTATATCACCAAGTTCGTCCAACCGAAGCCCCTGCTCATAGGTCAACTTCCTGTTGACTATTCAGAGCGCATGACCACATATTCTGATGGAGACTTTTGCCGCGTTCGACTAAGCAAGAAAATGATTGTGATAGAGATTCTTTGCGTTACCAAAAGGGTATGCTTCTTTTAGTTATTAGAAGAAATATCCCAATTTATTTGATTAACAAACCTTAGCCGAAGCGTTTTAACTTCTTGGAGTTCTTTTGTGGCAAGCACGCCATGTTGCTCAATGATTTGCGTGGGCGTTATCAATCTGGTTGGATTGACAACTTCCTGACCTTCTTTGAACAACCCTGGACGGAGCTCTTAATGCACGATAGATTCGAGGATCTGCAATTGAAGAATCGCCGACTGCTGCTGGCCATGCTGCTGATGAGCAACAAGGATACCCAAAATATCAGGAGCAGCTTGGAACTCAGCCAGAGGCAGAGGCTGGAGGAAAATGTTATCGATTTTGTTCGAACCTATCGCAAGGATTTTACCCATGAATTTGCTTTGCCCGAGGATTGGGGTGTCTTTAACCTATAATTCAGATTGATTTACAAAGAATTTCAGTGCCCAGAAATGACACAAGGCGCGCAGGTATTTGTTTAAATGTGTATTTTTTGTATTCCATACAACGCTAAATAATTAAACCAATTGCAAGTTTTTACATTGCTCAACATATTAAATCTATAAATAATCAAAAGCGAAAGCCTTCGTTTGGGATTAACCTAAGGGCTTAGTTATTCGGTTCGTTCTGTGATTAAGTTAGCTAGTTCGATTAGTATAACATTTTACTCTTTAGGTCTCAGTGTTAGCTTAATATATATACTACAAGGGAATGGGTTTCTAGAGGGGAGAGCAAGTTGGGGCTCGTCGCCGCGCTTGATCACGGTTCATGGCCAGGGGGCTGAGGCCACTGGGGAAGACAATGACATGGTGGTTCAGCTGGCCTCATATGCCCTGTAAGAATCTTCGTAACTCCTCCTCAGTGTCGAAGATCATGACCGGGAAGGGTGATCCTGGCACGAATTCACCCGCCCATTTGACCTCCACTCGATAGTCGCCTGGTTCGGTTGGATCGTACTAAGGATTGGAGATCATTATAGTTACAGGTAATGTGATAGATTAATTGATTGATCTCACCTTGCAGAGTATGGTCCGATCTTTCTGACTCTCCCGCTGCATCTCCACGCGGAAAGCTCCTTTGGGTCCACGAACCCGAACCGTAAGCTGACCAGCTCCTGCACCCCGAGTGTCGCAGATAAAGCGAGACTGGAAAGTGGCCAGCACCCCATGCTCGATTCCAGGTCCATAGACGCGGACCTAAAATTATAAATAATTAATAAAAAGGTTTATAGAAATAATCAATTCTAGGAAGATTTATAAGCCAACCCACCTTACTGGCATCCGGTGCTCCGGCCACTTTCAGTGCGAATGGAGAGCCCGGAACATTTTGTCCTCCATATTTGATGGTCAACAGATGACGTCCTGGCTCCTGGGGCTTGATATTCAGGGTGAATGTGGCATCGCCATGATCGTACAGTTCGCAATAGGCCACCTTGCGGACTCCAGCACAATGGGCAGTGAGTTCGCCGGGTCCAGCTCTCCTGGTGTCTATCCAGGACTTAATGTCCTTGCCGACTATACCATGACGTAGACCCTCGCCAGAAGCAATCACCTTCGTGGCATCCATCGAAGAGCCAACGGCCACCGTCAGCGGGCATCCCTTGACTAATCGACCGTTCCACTTAACGGAAAGATTCAAAGTGCCCGTCGTGGATTTTAGAGGGGTATAAGAGGCCATCCATATGTTCTCGCTGGGCCTGGGTTGCGCCAAGCTAACTGGCAGCGATGTGTTGTCTTGGCTAGTGAGTATAACCTCGGGTCTACCAGCCGGTGCATTCGAAGCATCGATGGTGAAGTGGGCCACTTCTCCAGCTTGAGCTGCAGCGAGACCTCGACCCATAAGCTGTACCTTATCCGCTGCTTGTTGACCCGTGACGAAGGCACTCCTTGGGCACTGGGTGATGGTCAGCCCGCTCCAAGTTAAGTCCAAATCATGTTCACCGGCAGCCAGATTCTCGCCAGTGATATTTAGGCACATCTTTCCATCGACCAACTTGTCCACAGGTATTTCGATACCATCGATGCTGCAAACTAGCTTTCCCGGTCCAGCATTCTCCACATCGAAAATGATTCTTGCAGGGAGAATCAGTCGCCCATCATGATCCACCAGAGTTCCCCAGCCACCAACAGGTGTAACCTTATTGGACTCTACGCAGCTGATATGCCACGGAGATCCCGGCAGGCTTCCCCTGTTCGGACAGCTGGCTCGGATCTCGTATTTTCCCACGGAGAGAATTGTGTATGAAATGCGCCACTCATTGTTGCCCAAAGCCTTAATCTTGGGCTCTATCCTTTCGCCATACTCGTCCAAACGTTCTATCTGGACATTTGGGGCAATGGGACAGTAGACCACAAAGGAGGCCTCCTTGTTCCGGTGGCATACTTCCAGTCCATGGCCAGCTGCTCGGGCATCATTCCTTACTCCACTTGACGAGGCGGTAAAGTTCAGGGGTGAACTGGGAATTGTCTCTCCTCCATACATGAGGGTCATCTTGTAATTGCCCGGCTGCGAGGGCACAAACTCCACGTTGTAGACTCCTTCGGTTTGCTCACTAATCAGAACGGGAATGCTTTGATTGCTTGGCGATATGGCGAAGGCCTCCAATTCCGCAGATCCGGCATTATCCGTACGCACGGTGAAGCTATTGGGACTATGAAGGGCCAGCGGTTCCTTGGTAACTCCTTGGGTGGTGACCTTGCTGCTGTCGAAGGACTCGCAGGTGAAGGGACTGCCAGGCAAAGGCTTTGATTGGTGGAGGACCTCTGTGGGAAATGACAACAGATTAGTGTCTTGAACTGGAAGAAACCGAATGATATTACTTACCAATCACACACTGTCCTGGTTTGTTGATGGTGAACTCCGCCTGGAGGTGTCCATTCTTCGTCTGATAGCATCTCACTGGCAAAGCCTGACCTCCTGGGCCGGAAACCACCACATCGAACTCTCTAGCTGGCCTTTTGACCGTGTCAATGGCAAACGAAGTGGTTTTGCCCACCCGAGACTGATACAATCCCAATCCACTGACACTGATTTCCTTGCCAGCACTAGCGGGTAGGACATTGATCTCCAGAGGCTTCAACGATATGGGCACTTCGTTGAAGAGGATGCTGATCTTGTGGGGAGCCACACGCGTTGGCTGGTAAACTATCTCGTACACTCCGGACTTAGTAGGTCCTCGGATAGTGTGCGGCACTTCGGTAGCTCCGCAACGCACTAAGGCAGACAGATCTCCCTGGCCAGCTTCGTTCAAGGACACTCCAATGCTAGCTGGACGATGGCAGTAGGCCTCGCTTACCTCTGTAATCTTCACCAGAGTGGGATCAAAGACGCACAGAGTGCGGGATCCAATGTGCTGTCGTGTTTCGCGATCTATAAAGCGCAGCGTGTAGTTGCCCGTCATGTGGGTCCGGAACTCCGCTGTCTGCCGGTTTATTGAGTACGGAACAGACTTCTGATCGGGTGAGAAGATCTCAACAATCTGATCGTCTGCTGGGAAATCAATAGCTGCCAAACTACCAATCTGAATGTGTTGAGTGTGCTGCTGAATGTCCACTCGGAATGGACTTCCATCCACGGCCACCTCGTTGAAAGTGATGTTCACGTAGTGGGGTTCCGTGCTCTGAGGCACAAAGGTCACATCGTAGAGACCACGGGCACATGCCACAACCTCGGCCTTAACAGTGCTACTGTCCGTGGAAACCACCAGTTCCAGCGTTCCCTCACCAGCCCCTGCAGCATCCACACTGAAGGTCACTGGAACACCCAAGTTGGCTGGTCCGTACTGCTGCTCCAGTCCGCTGATGCTCACCCTGGAGACATCGAAAACATTGCAACTGAAGGGGGATCCGTTAATGTGCTGATCGTTGGCAGTCACACTGATCAGATGACGACCCACAGTCGTGGGACGGAACGATGCGGAGTAACTGCCTCCATCGTGCTGACTCAACTGACAGTGTTCATTATCGCCCGATGGCGAGGTCACAAAGATTTGCGGCTCCACACCCTCGAAACCCTCGAGTTCAAAAGTGTTGTCCATCTTGACGGCTGCCTGCTTGAGGCATTCTCCCATGGCCATGGCTCGTGGTAGTCCCATCGATGGTGATGCCGCTGCAGCGGCTATGTGACAGCTGAATGGTGAACCCGGCACCGGATGTCCGTTGAATCGCACCGATAGCGAGTGGGTGGCCGCCTCCGTCGGCTTGAAGTTCACCTTGAACCGGGCATTGCCCTCGGACTGGACAAAGTTGGGTACGTTTTTGCCATTGACGGCCACAATGATCTCAAGGTTACCAGCTCCCGCCTGAGAGGCATTGATACCGAAGCTCACACTCTTGTTAACCACGCCAGCACGTATATCCGTGACAATAACCTTCTCGGCGGAGTACGCTTTGAGCAGGAAAGGGCTGCCCTCCACATGGCCACCACCTGGCAAACGAACCTCCACTGAATGGTCACCCACTTCCATGGGCTCAAACTTGACATTGTAGCCCAGGGTAGACGAACCCAGTGGGTCAATCTTCACGGGCACACTTCGTCTGGCTGGACCCAAAACTTCAACTGTGGGTTTGGTGTCTGACTCTACCACGAACTCAAAGAGGCGACCCACGCTGACCTTGTCCATGGTCTCTGGTGATTGGATATGTGCAGCAGCTGCCACGCGGCAGGTGAAGGGCGATCCGGGAACATCCTGGCTATTGAAGCGAAGCTCCACAGTGTGACTCTCAGCTTCACGGGGCGTAAAGCTAATGGCATAGGTGTGTTGACCCTGAGCCTGGGCGGAGGTTGGAACCCGCCCTCCATTAACCGTCACTTCTAAATTGCCTGGTCCAGCCTGGGATGTCTCCACGAGGAAAGTGACAGCCTTGCCCACTGTTCCACTGCTAACATTCTTCACCTTGATGGCGCTGACGTCGTAGACCTGGATAATAGAAAGTTAAAATGAAGTTCGATTTTTAAATAACCCTAACTTTTTCTCAGTGTAAGTCCAAACTTTATTTAATCCAAAAAATTACACATTCTTCACCCACCTTAGCTGCATATGGACTTCCGGCGGTGGCTAATCCATTGACCGTGACATTGACTCGATGCTCGCCAACTACTCTGGGCACGAACTCCGCCTTGAAGACACCATCTGCGGACTGATGCACTTGGGCGGGAACCGACTGGCCAGCAGGTCCTGATTTGGCCAGTATCGTATTTCGTATTTTTGTTTATCATTTTGATTTCGATTTTAGTATTGATTAATTATTGTGTATTTTGTTTGATTTTGATTTTCGGTTGCGACGCGGCCGGAAATGAGTTTGAGATTGATTTCGTTTGTTTGTTTTGTTGAAATTCGATAATTGGGCAACGATTCGGTTGGGTCAGATGTGTGTTGGGTTAGTGTTTAGTTTTCAGTCGCGGATGAAGCGAAAAAATTTGGAAAAATGTTCACTTTATTAGTAATTTTTTAGACTTTAAAATGTTTGGGCTGTCGGGGGGTCTTGGGTAGTAGTTAGTACCGTTTAAGATTAGTTCGAGTCATTTACTTGGAGTGCGATTAGTTTTGATTGATTATTGTATTGACTGTGCCAGAAAGGGTTAGTAAACGGGTATGTGGTAAGGGTCAGAGACAGTACAGTACAGAATAGATACAAGTTAAGAGCAATCCCAAGTTGATCTGTAAACGAGCCTGCTGGATATACAACCTATTTGAGTTTGTTTTAAACCATTTTCGTTTTTTATTTTATTCAAGTAAATCTACACATTAATCAGTATGAAACACATTAGTAAACAATCGGACATTAGTAAATACTTCATTTTGTTATTGTGTTGGCATAGAGTTTCGCCCATTCGGAGACTCTGTCTGGGGTTATTTTGTGGTTCGGACGGTTAGCGAGTATATATACACCTGGTAAATAGTATATATATATGTATATATGTATTTAGAGGGGAGAGCACAGAGACTACTCCCTCGTTTAATAGGTAATAGGTAATATAAGTATATGCATATATTTATATATAGAGTCTAGTACAAAAGATTTCGCCGTCCTGAAATATAATACAGATACAAAAGTGAGCAACATTATTACAAAAAGGACATATAATTACAAACAAGGGACAATCACAAATGCACACAAAACACACAAGGAGTAGGCTTGAACTACATGAATAATATGGCCACTGTATGGTATCCATGGAAGAGATTCCATAACTTGCCCTTTGGCATATTTGCATACATTAAGCTGGTTCTGGGTACCCAAAAACTGAAGCTTGAAATAAGATCTCTCAAAGCAGTACAGTCGAACTTCCCTAAGCCAAATCTTTATATATCCAAATGCCTTCTCTGCTGTAAGTTCCAAGTTAAAGCTATCAATCCAAAGCAATAAATTTACAAATTACATGTTATTTGTTTCCAAACTTAACTTAAATCGGTTAAGATACGATGTTAACTATCTATTTGAAAAAGAGTATCTTTTTCTCACTAAGCTTATGCTCTTTAAGTTAGTAGTTCCTGCCAACGAAGTTCGACTGCATAAGCAAATAATAAATGTGCTAAATAATTACACAAGCACGCACAAACTACACGACAAGGCTGCGCATCTCATAAATCCACTCTCTAAGTGCAGCACCTTGTCTTGGGATTCTTGGATTCAGCTGGAGACATGAGCCACATGTTGGGTCTGGGTCTGGTGATGGGAGGCGGTGAAAAGTGTGTGGGGGTGTGTGGCATGCTTGGGAGTTTCCACAACGATTTCCGCTCATACAAATTGCCTGTACAAGTCTTTGTGCGTGAGGTGTGAGAGAGTGGGTGCGATGCGGATACAGATACGAGTTGCAGATACGAATTACAGATACAGATACAGATACAGATACGGTTACTGCTACCAGATACGGATATGTGTATGCAAATGGATCCAATCGAGTAATACGCTTAGCAGACACAAACATTTAGCAAACGAGCAATTAAATTACGAGCCTTAAGATTAAAACCAATGCACAGAACACAAATTTGGGGCAATGAAAGGGTATCTGAGGGATGGATATCCCCATACAATCAGATGACTTGTGGTTAGCAGGAGTGGGAATGGGCCCAAGGAGCCCGGTTGGCATTGACTGGTTGGCCATTACTGGCCATCACTGCCTACATACCTTCCACGTTCACCTCGATGTCCTCCAAACGGCCGCCATTGTGATTGATTACAAAAGAATTGGTCTGATGCACGGGTCCAGGTCCTCCAAGGGACACCTGGGGCCCGGCCACGCCCCCGCTGATGCTGACCGTAATCGGACAGCCGGGCACGGGCATTTTATTGAATGACACGTTGATCGTGTGCTCGCACGACTCAGTCGGCACAAACGAAACGGAAAATCTGCAAGGAAAAAGGTAATAAAAGTTGAAGATTAAAAAAGAAAATGGTAGAAAAATGTACTTTAAAACACATAAAACAAAAGAAAGGCTTAGTAAAAGAAAGTCGTCTGATTCGACCAGTATATACCCTATATTCACAGTAATTAAGAAGCTTATATAGGGTGGCTCACGAAAGATTTGCGTTTTAAAATCGCTATAAAGGTATCAATATTTTCCAATTTTATTCGAGCGTAAACCATTTTGTATACCGCAAATCTTCTACTAAATATCTGACAAATCGACAATAACATTGAAAATGTCAAAGTGAAAATCATCGATAGTTCAGAAAGCAAACGCTACATGGGCCACTCTTTAAATCGAATAATGGCTTATTAACTGAAATTTTGAACTTGGAAATTCCCTTTTTGGTTCCTCAAATTAGATTTTTGGTTAGATATTATTAATAAACATATTTTGCTTTTTTAATAATAAAGCTTTTTCTTTTTCAAATCGTGATCGTAATTATAATTTTAGAGTCAGGAACGCTTTCTTTTGCCTGACGTATACTTTTTAATCAGAGTAATGGCTGTAATTAATGGTTCAGGCAATTACTAAAATTATAGTTGTTATAGTAATTATAATAGTACAAAAGCTTAAGTGGTCTCAATTTGATGAAAAACTAGAGAGATTAAGATTATAAAAATAAAATATCTTGAAATAGAAAAAAAGGTTTTTAATAAGTGAAAATGCCCGACTTACCTTGCACTGCCTTGCGGATGCACCTGCGTGGGAATGTTCTGTCCCTTGGCCGAAATTGTTATCTCCAGGTTGCCCTCACCGGCATCACCCGCATCCACTGTAAACTGCACCGGCCGTCCCATGGTACCTCGCGAGACACTTCCCACCACCACCTTGCTGGCATCGTAGGATTTGGCCAGGAAGGGGGTACCTTGCACAGCAAAGCCGTTGTACTCCACATTGATCGAATGGCCGCCAACGGTGGTGGGTGTAAATTCGGCCGTGAAGCCAGCGTGGATATCTCCAGTCACCCGGACAGGCAACTCGCCCTGGGGACCGCGCACACTGACAGCCAACTCGGCGGCTCCGCCTCCGCTCACGGTGATGTGAAAGGAGGAGGGCCGGTTGACCGGGATCAACTCCAGATTGGAGAGATTGAGGAGCACTCGCGAGGTGTCCGCCACGGCGCAGACAAAGGGACAGCCGCGCACCGTTTCACCATTGAACTTAATGTCAATCAAATGGGACTTGGCTTGCTCCGGCGTAAAGGAGACCAGGCACCGACCACCGCCCACGACCTGGACATGATTGGGCACCTCGCCCTCGTTGATGGATATCTCCAGCTGGCCTTCGCCGGCGGCGCTGGCATCCACGCGGAACTGGCACGGCTGACCGACCACGCCGCCATTCACCTCCGTCACCTGGATTAGGCTGGAGTCGTAGACCTTGGCGATCAGCGGGCCGCCAGCGATCTTCGTGCCGTTGATAGACGCATCGATTACGTGGGTGCCCACCTCGGTGGGCACGAACTCGATGCGAGCAGCACCATTTGCCGCCTCATGGGTGACTCTGGCGTTCAGCTTTGACTTGCTAGGAGTCAGAACCGTAGCCACGCACTCGCCCTTACTTAGGCTTTGTCCAGGAGGCGGCAGTATCTCAAAAACCGCCGGCGTATTGGCGGGTACCAGGCGAGTGGATTCGCCCAGAGCGGTCAGGCCGGGTGAGGACATGATTTCAGCGTGCCACGGTGAACCTGTAAGTAATGCAAGATAGATTAGTATCTTAATGGGAAACAAGGAAGATTGCTTTGCAAATTGGCATTTTAAAGAGCTGACTTAACGACCGAGTAGCAAATAACGATATTTGACCCACAAAACCACTGTGTGCACCTGCAGTTCAGGTAATTGAGACGAATGTTATAGTGCCACTGATGTTGGTGGGTGGCTCAAATAGTTCAGAGATACTATCTAATATGCCCCACATTCATCTATTTTAAGCTATCGTTATTAAGACAATTTACTCTAAAGATAAATGTGCAAAATCTGAAATTTGATATTCTGGATTGCTCCACTTTCGATGCACTGGTTATTGTTAAACACTTAAGATGTGAAATTGAATCTTAAAGATAGAACTTAGCAATCAAACAACATTTTGTGACCCACAAATCAGAGCTGAAACTGCAATTGAGATAATTGTTATACAACGAAGATAGTTTTTGATTAAATTTGATGTTGTGTGTTCTTTACCCCACAGTTAAGACATCTTAAGAACTTGAGGAGGATTTAGTTATTTACAAAATCTTGATTAAAATCAAACCTGCATGTCCTGTTAGCCAAATCTTGTTAATTCATTTTATAGTTTTTTACTTTCTTCTTCGACAGAAATTCCCATTCTAATTAATATGAAATTTCCCATAAGAATGAAATCATTTAGTTCCCACCAATAGGTCGTACATGCCAGCTACAAGTTCCCCCACCTAACTGAGTCAAAACTTTACAAGCCAACCTCGCATTCTTTAGCCGACAAGGTTTCCGCTGCGACTTTGCATTGTTTCTCGCTGCGTCTCATTATAATTGTCGCAATCTCAATCTGTGCCGCCTGGTTGCCGGCGACAAGTGCGTATCTGTAGCTCTGGATCTGAGTCTACTGAGCTGAGTATCTTGTGCCTTAACTTTCAGTCAACATGGTTTATATATATATATATATATATATCTTCTTTGAGAAACCAATATTACTGGTACAGAGTCAGAGGAATGTTTCCAAATGAGCCCGAAAGCATCATTAAATCGTTTGGAGGAGCCGCAATCGAGTGGCTCGGATGCCAATTTGCGATGGTGGAGCAGATTGGCAATTGGCTCGTTAAACGCTCGCCTATTTGTTGGCACTCTCAGCATCTCGCAGCATTTTTATTGGATTTTGGTGTTTATTTTTTTTTATACATTTCTTTCTGTGTTTGTTTGCCTGGCGCTCAAATTTACTTTTGTTTGCAACTTTCCATGCATTTCTCTTTTTGCAATTGTTGCACTTTTCCTTTTAGTGCTCGTTTGCAGTTGCTGCTGTATTGCTGTTTTTATGGCTTTCCATGAAAACTGCTGAAACGGTCAGTCGACAGTTCGATGGAAAAAAATCGAGCTGTAGTTGAGAAACTCTGTCATAGCTCAAAACTTGCCCCGTTTTGGGTTCCCCAACAGACGACAGACGACGGAATCGCTTAACGCGCGACTTGTCGTTCCCTGGGAAACTTCTCCTTCATCGCGGAACTCAAAAAAAAAAAAGACACATAAAAAACGCACAAGCTGTGAAAATCTCTTTGGCGAGAGACACTTCCCATCTTCTCACAGTTTTCGTAACTGTTTGTTTTCGGTATTCTGCCAATTGGGGCCATCATTAATCAGTTATCGCATTCTCATAACTCTGCTCATGGCCAGCGGCTATGCAAAAAGTAACATTTTACAGTTAGACGACCGCCGATCAAAAGAGTCCAACGCACCCAGCAGAAGTTGGTCGACTTCCCCCCCCTGTAGAATGCGGCGGCAAAAGTTGCTGTCGCTTCTAGGCAAAGTTGTAAATTGCCCATGGCAAGTTGCAAGAGCAACTGCACTTCGACCAAATGAAAAGCTGTCTTTTTTCCGCTTTTCTGGCCAGTTTCCCAGTGCCAGAGTGCTAATCGCATCGCTGAGTTGTTGCCTCCCGGTCGGAGAACAAGTGCAGCTATGTGGCATCTAACGCTGTTATTCAATCTGCATAGGCATCTGCTGTAGCCCCACACTGGGAGTTATTCTTAGGGAAATTAACTACATTTATAAGGGAAATTAAAAAGAAACAATTTCTAAAGAAAATCACTAAGGCAAGTCTCTAATGTGTTGATGCTTTCTATGACTAACGCATAAAAACTATAAAATTCTTCAGCAGAAGGCTCTAGATGAGATGGCTTCCACAGTTCCTATTTCTATAATATTCCAAATTTAAAGTCTTTGTTTTTCTCTCAGTGCAGGCACCTGTATGTTGTTTGTTTGTTTGCCTGCGGTTACGTGACTCGCCGCAGAAGCCCGTTAGATGGCCTGCAGCTGTCGCAGAAGTCTGATTCTGATTCAAAATCCGTATCCGAATCTCAACCTGACCGTTACACCAAACTATTTTTTGAATGTTACAAAGGAAGATTTACGTTTTTGTGGCTGGAGACTGGAAACCGGTGCCGTTGACAGTGCTAGATTGCTGTAGAATCTGAATGTGAGGCTGAAAACGCTCGTAGACCTTTATTCTTTTGGTTTTGAATCAAATCACAATAGCTGGCGGCACGTCTGAACTTGAAAGAGGTGGAAATTATTTCGTGTAGCGATTATGTCAGCGGGTTGTAAATGATTTATTTATGTGTAAGTGCGGCAATCTGAATTTCAACAAGACAACAACGATTAAGCGAAAGCGCTTATAAGAATTTGCGGAGCGTTGCACAAAATGACATCGCGGCACGACCACGATTCGGTGCACGTTTTAATCGCGTTTTACCACGACACTTTAGTTTTATACACGTTTTTAATAGGTTTTTCTTTTTTTTTTGTTGCTGTTGATGTTAAGTATTTATAATCACTCGACTTGAACTCCAGCTCTCTGTTTTTTCTTTTTTGAATGGGGTTGGAGTTACACGAGGGGGTTAAAGGGGTCTAAAGGGGTTAAGGGGCGCGTCAGAAACCAGTTAATGCTGCAGCCTTTGCTGCTTTTCGACAATTTTCGTTATTAAATTATGCACAACCCAGACAGACAGACTGGCAGGCAGGCAGGCAGTTTCACTTTGAATGGCGGTGGCTCATAAAAATCCCAAACGCCGGAGCGCTGGAAGTGGGAATGTATGCCAATATGCTGAGCGGAAATGGCCAAAAGCGTTGGGTAAAAGCGGCGGGCAAAAGGAGGCTAAAATCGAAGTGAGAGGTGTGGCCGAAGCCGAAACTCATTGTTAAACAAAAAAGAAACGAAACGGAGCCAAACGAAATCGAAATGTTTGCTCACGATGCTTAAACTTTAAGCATATATTTCGTGAGCTTCAAAATCGGTGGAAAGTGGCCGACGTGGCCAAGAAATCGCAATCTGCTCCGGAGATCTGGCGCATACCTGTCGCGCCCTCCGCATACCTGACTGACAACCTATCCCAACGGGTTTTGGGCTGCAGCAGGAGCAGAGTAATTCCATCCAGGTACCCGGGGGGAAATCGGTTTTCTCGGTGCAACTTTGATTTCCGCCTCAGCCGTCGAGAGATATATAGATATAGATATAGGCATATACACACAATGCACTGGCATGCAACAAGTGCGCCTTGAACCACATACAACTGCATCGGTTATCTGTGTATCTGTATCTGCGCCTTTGAGTCTTGGCCAAGAGTGGAAGTGGCAGTAGTTGGCAAACCAAGATGGCTGCCCCTTTGTCAATGCAAAAGTGGCTAATAAAATTGCATTGCAATGCGGAGACAGTTTTCTTCGCATTATTGATTCGGCTTAGCCAAAACACAGAGCCACCACAGACAAAAAAATAAACCCCTGCACGCTGCTATCTTCGGGTTGAAATATTTCCAGCTTAAAGGTTCATTAAACTGGTTTTTGTTCGCACAAGAGACCCCGAAATGTAGAAAAGGAAAAAAAAAACAGAGAGTGGAGGGGCGAATATTAGCATATTTCTTTGGCTTAGAAATCTCCGACACGGAATCTTTTTGATTCGTTTCACATTCCGGGAGCCCAAAAAAAGAGCTCATAGTTGTTCTTTTCACAGCCAAATGCTAGTTTGTTTACGCGTGGGGTTCTTTTTTTGAGTTTAACACACAATTCTTCACTTTTATCTGATTCTCCGCTAGCCACAATCACAATTTTCTTGCCAATTTTCCTGGCGTTTTGCGAACCGATCGTCTGTTAACTGCGTTGCCGCCGACGTGTCAGTTTCGTTTGGAGCGCGATCTTCGACTGCCAACGCGACTCTCGATGGGAGCGCCGTCAACTATGAGTTCCGAAAACCCGTCGAGCAGGTAACGCCGATCGCTGAGAGGGCCAGAGAGAAAACAACGGAGAGATCGCGGCAGGTGAGCACAGGTGAGCTCAGCTGAGAACTAGTGATAGTTTGCGGGAGAGGAAAACTCAGAGAGCGACTCACATTCCACGAATTCGCCGCACAGTGGCTAGAAGATCTTCAAAAATCTTTAAACTAAACCAGGAAGCCAACCATCTATATGTGAAGTTTCCTTGTCAGCTGTTACATTCTCAAAAATTTTTGGATTATTATCAGAAACTGGTTCATTTTGGTAAGTTTTTCCAGTTTTAATAAATAGAAGGCATGAATATACCTAATGAAACTTTCTGAACAAACTTAAACTTTCGAAGAAAAATACAAAAATTAACAACAACATTTCCTAAAAAGTAAAACTTAAATATTAAATACCTAATCTAAGACTGTTTCCAAATATAAATACTTATAAAAACAAATGATTTACCAAAAACTAAATACCTTGCCTGAAAGAATAACAATAGAAGATCGAGTCAGCTATTCCTATCTAAGATTATGGCCAAAATAAGTGGTCCCAAGTGAGATGCCTTTATAAGCAACCAAACCACTTATCACACCCACATATCGATAAATGCTCGAAGTTAAGACTCACCTGGAACTGTTTCGCCATTGAAGGTGATCTGCACCGTGTGCGTTCCATGTTCGTGGGGCGTGAAGCTGGCAATGAACCTTTGACCTCCCAGCGAGCGGACCGAGGAGGTGACGCGCCCGCCGTTGACCAGGATCTCCAGATTGCCAGAACCCGCCTTCGAGCCATCGATCTCGAACTCGACGGGACGTCCAATGGAGCCATTCGGAATATCCTGCACCCGAATAGCCCTGGCACCAGTGGCGTTGCTATCTATCGGTCGAAACCTAGAGAGTGAGCTATAACCATAACCCGGAGAAGGACCATGGCCATTGCTCTCGGTAACCACATGCTCGCTGGACTCTTTCACGGTTTTCGTATATCCGCCGGACTTGTCCGTGTAAGTATTGTTCGAATGTGACTTGACTGTAATGGCACTGGGTCTGCAAAATATTTAATAAATTTTTTAATTTTAATATTTACATTTTGTTTAACTTTTTACTTTTAGACAGATTCAAAAAGGATTTATCTTAAAATTTTAAAAATTAACTTACTTGTAGCGCTCTCCATCATCGGGGGAATCCCGGCGATAGTCCGACTGCTGCTGCTGCTGCTTATGCAAAGCGAACTTGTTGTACTGGGTGTTCCGGTGCGTCTCGTGGTCCAAATCCGGCCTGTTGTACTGCAGTTCCGTATTCAGCTGCTTCTCGGTCATGTTCGCCAGCGATTCGAGCGAATTGTGCGAGAGCATATGCTTCGTCTTGTTGATGACGTCCCAGCTGTCACGCCTGGCGGAAGCCGGCTTCATCGAGGACACTCTCACATTGGAGGAGTGGTCGATACGCGGCTCCGGCGATCCAGTTCGACGCAGTCGCTCAGCTGTTCCATAAAGGGAGGGACTGGCACGAACATTCGAGTCGGTAACATAGTTCGAGGTGGACTTGTAGGTCGAAGACTTTTCCACAGTTCGCGACGATTCGTAGCCATTCTGAGAAGCCAAAATTAATGTTTAGTCAAAGGATTGCATTGGAAATCTCTGGAGGCGACATTTTTTTGATAAATGTCTAAAAGTATGCAGTAAAAATGAAGCATCAAGACCTTTATATTTGTTAGACATATTTCTAAGCCTCTGGAGATGTCTTAGACTTTTAAGTCAAATCTGTATGTTTTTGACCTTACCTTGGTCACTGGGCTGGTCAAGGGACTACCCATCCGATGGGTGGCCGTGGTAATGTAGGCACTATTGGGGGAATAACGTTGCACGGGGGAAACAGAGGCGTGTCGTGGACTGCTGGTGATATTTCGCGTAGAACTTTCGTACTGGTTGGACGTCTTGATGGTCAACGGGCTGTGGGTATGCAGCTCGCTGGATCGGGTCTATGGAAAATGAAAACAAGGATTAGCAAATATTCGGAAAAGGTTAAGTACACAAAGCAGGCAAGAGTTAATCTTTTGGTTTTCGGATAATTCTCTTTTTGGGATAGCAAATCGAAACAACAAAAATTTAGTTACATTGAGTGTGGGACTAGGTATTGGACTAAGCGATCTGGTCAGGGTACTGGTGGCCAGTTGCTGGTGCCGCTGCTGTTGGAAGCTGCTGCTGCTGCTGGTATTGATGCTGCTGCTCAACTCACGCTCCTCGCGTGGCGGTGTTAGCTTGGGCTTGGTCACTCCACGTCGCTGACTGTACAGCTCGTTCTCCTTGTCATAGTAGTAGTCGTTCTTCGTAGAGCTGCTGTTCGAGGTCTTTGAATCACGTCGCCCGTTTAGAGTTTCCGTATAAAGATCGGCCGAGTTAAGATACTTGACCGTGGGTGAACTACTAACTGGAGGGGGAGCTGGCGGCGGTGTGGCGTGGTTCTCCTGTCGAAGGTAGTTTTCAGTGTGTGTGTTTGGGGACCGGACCAAGGATGGAGGAATGTGGATGTGTATGTGTGTGTTAGCCAAAACATTCAATTTTGATGGGTTGGGTGATGTGAAAGAAAATCCCATGCCGCATGCCACATGCCTTACTGCCCCCTGCATTTCTACTTACCTCGCTCTCCCGCTTATAGTACCTGGAACTCGAACTGTGATAGTCTGTGGTATCCAATTTGGGCGAGTATTGCGGTGAGTAGCTGTTGGTCCTCTCCGCCGTATTGTGCCTCGAAAGGGAGGAGTTTCGATAATCATTATGCCGGGTATTCGTGGTCGAGATGAAGTGCATCGAAGGGCTCTCCGAACGGTGTTTGCTATCGTGCAGCGGGCTGCTTCGCGTTTTCCCAGATCTTCCCTTGGTGCCCACACGCATGCTAAAATTGTAACGAACTATTATTACCTAAACTTCACTTGAAGATCAACAGATCTACTCACATGAATGGCGAACCCTTGACATCGTAGCCATTGAAGTAGATGTACACCCGGTATTTACCATTCTGCCTGGGCATGAATGTTACCCGGTACTTGTTCTCTACAATCTTCTCCACAGAACAGACCAGCGAATGCTTGTCATGAACAATGTCTACATGGAGTTCTCCTGATACACCCACTCCTCGAGCATCCACCTCGAAGGTATGCGCCCTCAGCGGCATGGCCCCATCCAATCCGTGAACGGAAACTCCAGAAGCATCGAACACGGCACAGGTGAAGGGTCCCCCTTGGATGTGGCGACCCTGGTAGGTGATGGCAATCTCCCAGATGCCCGCCTCGTCCGGCTTGAATATGGCACTGTGACCCTCGTCGATCTTCTTCAGCGCACAGTTATGCGAGATGCCCGTGGGCGAGACAGCAGTGACCAGGATGTCTTCCGTCTTGGGTGCACCGGTAGCATTAACCAGCACCTCGACGAGACTACCCAAGGCACAGGGTGCCATTCCCGGTGGAGCCACTTGCATCAAGCGGGGCAGGGCACGGAAGAAGTGCCCACCCAAGCTGTCCTCGCCGATCTCCACCACAATCTCATGCATTCCATATCGCTCCGGAACAAAGACTCCTTCGCCATGGGCATTGAGTCGCACAGGTTGTCCTGGTTGTCCGGAAGGAGGGACCACATGGCAGCGTACTGAGCTCAGGCTTATATCCCGGGACATCACATCGATACGGAAGTGGGTCTGCGTGTGAATCGGACATTAAACATTTACCTACTGCACTTGACACTCTGAAGTTCTGTATATTTAAACAGTTGTGGGCAAGACGATAGCACTGAGAATTTTAAAACATCATTTAACTCTCCGAAAACTCCCTTTTAAAGCTCTTTGATATACAGACTTTCTTTTCAAATTTGCAAAAAAGTTCTTTAGATAAATAGAAGGAAAAGGTTTTACCAGAAAACAGTGCACTATTATTATGTTCTCAACTGTATATACATAAATGCTCCACTCACCGGTTCGCCCACCCGACCGGATGTGCTTTCCAGGTAGACGCTGACCAGGTCCGATAGCGGTGGCCTTGGTGGAACCCACTGCAGGTGGGCCGCGTAGGCCATGATGCCCAGATGCTCCACTTCCGGGTTGGCCATGTCCTTGGCCGTCAGGATGGGCTGCACACCCAGCCGGGCACCGGCGTCCACCGCCTTGCGAATATTATTTTCGTAGTGGAAGGGATCGGTGCTGAGCTTTTCCGGTGCAGGCGCCGACCCACCCAGTCCCTTAATAATTTCGCACATTACGCGGCCATCGTTCCAATCGGTCTGCAAGATTAAATCGCAATTAAGTGTTAAGCTTTTTATTGGTCAGCAAGGAAGTATAAGAGCGGGCAATGAGTATTTATGTTTCTTTAATGCACTTGTTAATCATAATTAAAAGGTAATATGTTAATGCGTTATATTCCTTTGTATTATAACATGAAAAGTTCCGTAAACATAATTTAATCCCAATAACTTTAGACTCACCGTGAAGTTCTTGACAGAATCCTTAACCTGAGTATTAACCCACCGCATGGTGGCATTGTAGCCAGGACCGCCAGGCTTCATAAAGTACGAGAGGTACGTCATGCCCGACAGCTCATCCAACCAAGGTGAAGCCAGATACTCCGGTTCCAGGACCTTGGGGACACCAAACTCGCGCTGTGCCAAGTCCATGGCCTGGGTGCAATTTCGCACACTCTGGTTGGGATCGAGACTACGCCAGTGCGGAAACAATCCCGGCTGGCAGTAGTCCAGCAGAGCCGCCAGATTGACGCCACTATTCCAATCGGTGGTCAGATTGGTAATCCTACAGTCCGGCAGAGCGGCCTGCAGCCATGCCAGCATTAGTTTCCTTGGCGGGAACTTACTGCGTCCGATCTGATAGCGTACAATCAGGGACCAGATCAATCCCAGGATTAGCTTTATATTCCCATTGACAATATCCACATTGCCGATGTTCACCAGCTTGATGTGATCTGCCTCAATGGATTTCAGCGCCGTGGTGGCGTTCTCCAGATAATGATGCTGGTTGGCGGGTCGGCGATTCCACGAGGGTTTCAAGGGACGCGTCTGGAGGTTCTCCACAAGAGCGCAGAGGCAGGTGCCATCGCAGAAATCCGTGGCCCAGTCATGAACCTAAGAAAGACACAATAGAAATTTGCATTAGCTTTTCTCCATCATTAAGAAAGGCAATGGGAAATGTTGTGGAAAATAAATAGGCTTAAGATTATAGTTTTGGCCAAGTTAGGGTAATTTTGTAGTTTACATAATAGTTGACAAATATCCAATACTCAAGGTGAAGACTCCAGTGTTTCGCAGATTATTATGGAATGTTTTGTAGTCTGTATTCCTAAATTAAAATATTCCCAAACTAAGACATAATAAATCACAAGAAACTATAAAAAACGTCTTAACCCAATGGATTAGTTTAGACTTTGCTTTTGCTTAGACTAATGATTCTGTAAGCACTTGGCGCCAGGCATTAGTTTGAGCTATTGGACTCGATGGAGTACCTACATAATTCCCATCAGAGATTAGCGCACGTATGCGACGCCCTCCCATGTCTGTCCATACGCCAGAGGGCCGCATGACAGGCAGCCTTCCTAATGAGCAATCAACGCCCCTTCCGCAAACTGTTGGCCCACTTTACAAGGTAAACCGCCTGCTCGGAACTCGGAGCTCTTGGAGCTCTGAATCTCGGCATCTTGGAGCATGGAAACATGGGAACCCAACAGGTTACCTGCTCGGAACTGAGCGGCTTTCTCCGCCCGGGTGCAACCAATTGTGCGCGATTTTAAGCATTTGACATAAAGCTTTTTATCTGCTGGCTGTCGGCATTCAGATGGGGGGGAAAATGGGGAACTGGAGAACTGGGTACGGAGACACAATCGCGTGTCTGTTGCTGTTTGTTTGTGCCTAGGAAAATATTCATTGGATGCCATAAAAATCTCGCACATAGTTGCGCCACGGCCCTCTAACAAGCTGCCGCAGGTTGTTATTTGTCGTAGCTGTTATTCTCCGTAGTACACCTTTAAATTTTTAAGCTACCTTTGCCTTTACGATATGAGCTCAAGTTTTTGGAGTGAGTTGCATTTTCACCAGACGGGCTGGGGTACTCCCATTTTTACGTACATTTTTTATTTGCATGTGGAATTTTTTGTACATATCCAGAAAATGTATTGTCATCGTAAATAAAAAATTGTATACAATTTATGAAAATAACAAACTTGGGAAGTTTAAGTCATTTATTTCAGATTTAAAACTTGACTCTTAAATATTGTTATTCAGTTTAGAGTGAAGTTGAATATGTTTTGCCATAACTTTAAGCTTTTGTAAGGAATGTAAAATTCTTTCTCTTCTTTATTATCTATCTTAAAAAGCCTTGCATTGGGAAAACCAATTTGAATACATTTTTCCGTTGCATGTCACATCATTTTCCGTTTCCCATCTTTCCCTTTGAGTACTCCTTTGTCATACAAGCTCGATTGCAATATTATGTGTCTCATATAAACGCATAAGCTAGAATTGTAAGCAGCGCAAAAAGCGTAAACTTGGGTGACTCGTTTTGGCTTGGTGACCCAAATAGATGTGAGCCAGGTCACTCTGGCCTGGCTCTCAATTAGCGCTGTTTACTGGGGGTCTTCAGCCTTGCTCATCACATTCGTTTTTGGCCCAGCCAAAAAACCGAAACAGAAAAACACACGAAAATTATACACAAAACTGGGCAAGATCGCGGACAAAAGCTTTAGCTTGTTTTTGGGTTTTGTGTATTGTAACTGGTAATGGGAATTCGATGCGTTGGCCTTGGCATTCAACCGGCCAAATATGGTCGCTTCAGGTCGCTCAGCTCGGTGCGTGTGAGAAAATCCAACTGGCTGGCTGACTGACAATATAAAAGTCCCTGGACAAATGAAATGCATTGTTGCCAGTACATAAATCCGTGTGAGTACTCTTGGAATTATTGTAATTGTAATCGCTGCTGCCACTTGCCATTGAAGTCTCAGATCTGCGTGGGCGTTTGAGCCGAGTTTTATGAGCCCGGCCATTTAAGGCATCTCGCGGAAGAGCTGGCTGGCTGTTCATATTAAGCTGAATGAGTTCGTTATATGACTGTCAACGAAAGCCTTGATTTAAGAGAGTTTCATGAATGCGAGATGTGTATTCATTATTCAGATTTATCAAAGGTTTAATAAAGTTCATGTTTCTTTTGTTCTTATTCACCGTAAAAACTAAGATTAACTTTAGTCTTCCTTTGCTTAACTTGGAAAATTTAATCTGAATCAAAAGTAAGTTGGAAATTTGAGGTATGAAGGTTTGAGTCCTTTAAGTTTGAGTTCAAATGTTAATAAGCTGTCATGTAACTTATTCACACATTTTCTATCTCCCTATAACTTTCTATCAGCTCTCAAAGAGGTAATGTTCGTATCAGTTCTTAATACATAAAGTAATAGAATATATCGCTCGATGAACATTAATTTTAGAAAACCTTTAGCGAAGCATTTCCTGATACGTTTTCCCTGAAATGTATTCCCAGGCCCTGCCTCATCGATAGTTCTACGAATTTCGTATTCAACCAAGCCGGCCCATTGATTGGGTAATTGTTTTTTGCGCTTGATTGATCAGACATTCAGTCGGCAGATACTCATTCGGTTAGAAAGTGTTACATAACGAAATGGTTAGTGCTAAGGGAGCGGAATGGAATGTATCTATATCTATGTATATATACTTAGATAACTCACCTGCATTCCCGTTTCGCGCAAATGCTCGTTGACCCAATTGCGGAATGTATTCGCCTGGATCTCCACCCACAGATCCTCGTTGCCCCGGATGTTCATGCCCTTGGCGGCGGTGCCCTCGGGACTCCGGGCAACCAAACCGGCGTGGGTGATCTTTTGCGTTTCGGTGCTGCCATCGGAATTGTGCTTCAGCAGTCCCGGGTGCGTCACCTTGGCGCCTTTTATGTCCTTGACGTCCATCTTCACTGCACGTCACTGCACTTCACCTGCGACTCGCACATATGTACAGGTGTAACTCACGTTCAAACACTGATCAGAATGGAGAATAGATCGGAAACAAAAACTATTGATTAGACGCGACTCGGTTTTAGTTTCGGTTTCAGTATCGGTTTTAGTTTCGTTTGCACACGATCGCAGCTCGAAGCGAACTGGAACTGCTGTGCTAGCAGCTCGACCTGAGCGGCATCTGCTCTCTTGCTCTTGGCCTGGCCAAAACAAACGATGACGTCATGGCGCTAAAGCTCAAAGCTCCGGAGAGCAGCTAAAGGAGAATGCTAAAAAAATGCGGGGGGGTTTCGCCAGCGAGTGTATGTGTGCGAATATCTCTGAATCTGGCTATAAAGCAAAACTGGTTTCCACACTTCCAAGCCAAAACGAAGCGGGCGAAAAGGAAAATTGAATACAAAAATAATAAAACAAAAAAAAGAAGTCTGAAAAATAACAGAAATCACTTAGTTTGGAATTTCGCCGCGGCAAAAGCGAGCAGATCTGGTGGGCAGTACTGTGAATGTGAATGCTGATGTTGATGTTGATGTTGATGTTTGAGCAAGTCTTTCACAAACGGCACAAACGTTAGAAGGCCAACGTGTGTGTAAACGTGGGAGCCACCGCCGATGATAATGGCTGTAATCACAGTAATGAAATCTGCCACGATCAATTGTCAATTGTCTGCCCGTTTTCACTTGTCGCACTTTTACCTTAACAATTTCCACAAACCGAAAGTTGGCTAGGCTATAGGTCTGTCTATCTGACAATCTGTTCGACAAACAGTGGTTGGCCTTTTTGGCAAATATTCCAACGCCGTGTCGCGAAGACAACGAGGCGTCAAAAGACGCTATCTAAGCAACTTAATTATAGGAAATCCGGTTGAGTTTCCAACAAGTCAGTTTGGCCAGCTCATATATCATAGCATGTCCAGTTCTGAGCGAGGCTGGTATGCAGATTTCCAAATGCAAATACTAGCTGTTTATTGACAAACACTTTTCGGAGAGGTAAACAGCTCTGAGATGACATCACTCATCACTTGCTGAGTAAAGCGATGAGTTGTGGCTTGAACACTTCTACAGGAGAGTGCACAGCGAGAAAATATGCCTCAAAGAGGCCTTCCATCTTCAATAATATCCTTTACTATCTTACTATCTCTCTTTATTATCTCAGTGATAAAATGATCTAATGACCTTCACTTTATTTACATCAAATTAAGATGGCAAGCTCATGTATTTTTTAATTAGCATGTCATCTGTAGTACATACATTGGACATATAAACTTTTAACATCATTTTACTTAGCTTTGCTGTTACATAAAATTTACTTCAATTTATTTTAAACTGAGATGACGAATTGAGCTGGCATTGTTGTTTTCATTTCTCAGTGACAAAAACTGCGTTGCTTTGATGGAATAAATTAACTGGCGGGGACAGCAAAAAAGTGGAAATAAATGAATTGCTCCTCCGATTTATGAGTGATCCCGCGGCTGATGTCATTTACTGACACTTGACATTGGCAATGAACCTAATTAGTTGCACTCGCCACTGGCGTGGAATGAGCCCCAAGTCCTCTCCACTTCATACACTCTCATCCACTCCATTCCATTTCTCACCGAGTTCTATATACAGAGCTCGAGGCAAGGTCATGGGAATGGTAATGATAATGGTATTGGCTGAGGGGAATGGGAATGACCAATCCGCTCCTCAGTTTACTCAGTTGGTCAGCAAGCAAATATCGAAAGTGTTGTCGTGACTTAAATTGGCAGAAGACGGCCAGCTAGCACACCTAGTTTAGGGCATTACGTAATGGCCAAAAATTCAACGACTTTGCACTGACAAATATCGGTGTGTATATCAGTGTATCTATATCACAGAATGCCATGTGCACGTAGGTGTCTGGCATTTTTTACACTTTTCGATTTGTTTGCTGTCCGAATATATATTTTTTGTATTTTTTTTTGTTTTTGCCTTGTCAACCCACACGGACAGCAAAATCTCGTAGTCGTCGTCATCGGAGTAACCACCCACATGGCGTGGTTCAACGCCTCGTTCTAGACGTGGGTGCCATTTCAAGTTTGATTTGTGCCAAAACCGTGTACCAAATGGCCATTGATTTCTCAATGATTCTGTAGTGGCTGATTGCTTGACTGCCAAACTACAACTCTGTTAAGATCTGTGCTGTGGGAATTGGTATTTGGTTAAATGTTCTATGACAACGTCATTAACTTTGAAATATATGAGATTAACTGGAGTGGAGGTGAAGACCATAATTATGTTGATGGATGGCTATGGAATTTACTACGAAAAGCGTTTCGCTGGTTGATCTTTGAAAAATGAATGAAATAATAGTTGATTCTTGGCCGATCTGTCTTGTTCCCAGGGGACTTATCTGCTTTACTGCCTACTTAATATATAATAGGGCTTTCTATTAAAGCAGCCAATAGACTCTGGATTTCAGCCAAATATTCTAGAGATTCCCTGCCAAAACTGGCAATATAATCTCATTTGGTACCATTTTCCAGCCATGAGAGTAGAAGGAACTGTAGTCATTTGTAATTTAAATGGTATTTCCTCTAGTTCAACTTAGGCGTGGGCTATTAGTCTGCCTTACGATATTACATATTCCATTTCCTGTTGGCCAAATGCGATTGTAATACTTGCCCAGCGGCTGAGGGCCACGCCTCAAAGTTAAATGATGGCCTATTAGCGCACGCTTCTATGGCAAACAAGCGTTTATTTTTGGCAGCATTTTTATGGAGGTTCGTCATAAATAGAAAACACTCCAAGCGATGTGCCGTGCTCACACATACTCGAGACACATGCACAGATATGTGTACATACATGTACTGGCTGGTCTTTTTGAGGCGCTGCCAAGTTTGTGTCTTCAGTCTTTTGATTAATGCCGTTAGGCGTCGCCAAAGCGCAGCCAAGCCAAACCTTCTTTATACGATTGTGTATGTTCTGTTGTTTTTATTTCTTCTTTTGTTTTTTAATTTTTGCTCATTACTCTGCCTCGTTTATTCGCCTAAAAGCCGCAGCAATTACAATTGAAAATGGCTTTTAGCCAGCTTAAAAACCAATCGAACAGCGCCAACGGAAAAACCAGATTCAGATTCAGATTCAGACGCAGGCCCAGACTTCAGACTCAGTCTCAGTCTCAGTCTCAGACTAAGATTCAGATTCGCTTTCGGTTTAGAGACTTTGGTGTTGGTGTTGCTGTTGGTTTTAGTTAAAGTTTTAGTTTTGTTTTTGCTTTCGCTTCCCCTCGCATTCGCCTATTATGCAATGGGCTAGGCCAGATATCTGAATCTGAATATCTTATAACTGCGACTTTTGGTATTTATGCTTTCGGGCAAGTATTTTGTGTTGTTTTCCTTTCCGATTCACACGCCTCGAGGCCCGTTCACGTGTTTAGCACAAATTCCGCACAAGCCAATATGAATATAGTTATGTATATCTGTGTATATATATCCCCTCTAATTTAAGCAGCAGCTCGAAATTAGAACAACGCTCGGCACGCAAGACTTTGGCTCGAAAGAGAAATACAGAGAACTAGAGTCGAACTTAAGCACAAGGCGAACAGCGAGGCACATGAAGATTCATAAAACAAAAATGTGTAGTTAACGTTAAAGTTAACGTTAGCGTTAGACGGCGGCATCAGAAGTTATTAAAAAATCGAGGGGGAGTAACACACAAACACACACACACGCAGCACTGCACATATATGGTATAAAGATATATATATGAGTGTTTTGTTTCCCTTTTGGCACTTGTTGCTTACACTTCGGATTCGCCTTTAGAGGAGGGAGGGAAAAAATGAGCGTTAAAAAATTCAAAAACACGTCCAACGCGCACGAGTTGCTCACAACGACTGAAATTGGCAGCAGAAATGAGACTGGCGATCGGGCCAAAAAGCTCTGCTCCGTCACTGGAAGTCTCGGAATTGGAATCTAGCGACGTCATCGTTTAGTTTTTTTCTTTTTTTTTTGGCCCGATCTCGGCTTGTTTTGCTTGCCCGCTTTGTTGGCGCTTTTGTTTTGGGCCCCCAATTCGCTCAGGTGCCACGTTTCCGCTTAGCAAAGCGGTTAGTTGGTTCTCGGAGTCGGCCGGAGTGTTGGCCTAATGGACACGACTACTCCACTCTCAACCAGCTCGTTAATTGCAGGCGTCGGCAATCCGATGAGTGTGTGGTTTCGGCCTTTGTAATTGAACAATTTTGCGGCTTTTCCTCAGATCCCATTGATTACGACATGCAGTTGCATTCGATCGATCGATCGAGCGATTGGGCTAAGTTGGCTAAGTGGATGGATGAGTCAATGGATATTGCTATATGGTTATAGTGCTATATGGTATATTAACCCCCCCAAGCCAAACGAAACGCACGATTTTCATGTATTAAGAATTTTTTGTTTTGTTTTGATTTTATTTGTATTTCAGTTTTTCTTTCTGGTTTTTGTTTGTCGTTTTTCTTTATAATTCCATTTGTTTTGTTTTGGTTTTTGGTTTTTGGTTTTTGTTTTGTTACCCTTTTCAGATTTCAGAGTGGTTCAGCAATGTAAACGGCTTTGAAACTCTCGCACGATAAGCTCGATTTACCTGCTGCAAATCGTGGCCTTTTCTGATCTGATCTGATCTATAGTGACCGTTTAAAAAATGCCTTTTCCTGCCCGATGATCTGAGAACTATACTGTCTCTGGGTGTATGTTTACTATGAAGTCAATGTTGAATTAATTTATCTATTTAGTTCTTATAAATTAATTAATTAATTTATAGTAAAAATAAAGCTATAAATGTTCTTGTTTTTTTTCATTTCTTTACTTTGCTTCATAGATCTCAATGCATCAAATAATTTAAAAAATTATTATTATGTAAGCCATTCAAACCCGCCAGCTATGTCTATCTTCATATCCATCTCAAACATCTGGCTTTAACAACACAACCGAATCGATGTAGTTCCTTGTATCTTTTTTACGTTCAATAACAAATAGATATATGTATGTCTATATGCGCTCTAACGGAAAACATTGAATAAATCAGAAGGAATAAGTCTAACAAGGGACAGGCCTCTGCCCTGTGATAAGCGTGCTAATAAGCCATAAAAATGTAATTTAATTTAATTTAGTTATTATTATACAAACATTAACTTTGGCAATAATTGGCTAACTAAGGAATCAAAAACTCCAATTAACTCTTACAAGTTGTCGTTAGCTTTCTTTTAACACTCTTCTTGTTTTGGTATAAGCTTTGTCTTAGATGAAACCCCATTTAATGTTTATTGTAATTATTAATTAAGTTTTTAATCCGTTATATGATATTCCGAAAAGTAATTAGGTTTGAAAAATATGAAAAAAGAATTTCCTTCTATCTGTTTACCAGAAAATGGAAAATAAGCTAACCTCGTTGACGAAAAATCTAAGAAAAATCCTAACGAAATTTGAGCTTAAGTTCCTCTTGGCATGAAATGAGTTTCGTTCCAGTTTCCGTTTATCTGTTTATCCGTTTTTACCCGGCTAAGATACTCAAACGTATCCTGGCTCAAACGCCAGCTGATTCTGTAAAGTTAAGGTTCCTATTCGAGTTAGCTATATAATTATTAGATTTCCCTTATCAACTCAGTTTGTGGTTTTCAATATTTCGGGAGTTGACACTGAACAATTTACTCAATCGATCGAGGTTCGATCTATTTTTTGGTCTTCTCTGGTACACATCTAATGGTATAACTAGGTATAACTAGAATTACAGCTAAATTAATTATTTTCCTCATTATCGCATTATCGCAGCCCCCATATTATGGGGATTCTTGAACTGCGTTCTGTGTTCTGCTACAGAACCCTTTTGCCTAAATTAATTATGGTTTTCTTTTTTTTTTGTTTTCTCAACTACAATCTTCAGCATTGGTTTTGGCTTTTTGGGGCAACTAACTAAAGTTAAATACATTTAGACCTTTAAATTTTTACCATATCAAGTATAATGTAGATCATGTATAATGTAGATACTATATACGACAGTAGTACAATATAATTAATATTGCATTAAAAGTGTTTTCTCTTTGACATAGCTACCCATTAATATTGGTTTTCATTATTAATAGTTTAATGTCTTAAGCTTGTTCTTAGAGTTTTTTTCGGTTTGTTTGTTTATCATTATTATTATTAATATAGTTTGGTTTGGTTTTTCGAGTGTGTGGTGTATGCTCTGGCAGTTCTTTTCCAATAGTACAAATATTTTGCAAATATTCACTTAGTTGTCCATAAATTGTTTATGCATTATTTTCAGTTGTAAAGTAAATCGTTTCCCATATACACATCTAGTAAATTTTATTTCCGTTTTGTTTTTGGTTTCGAATTACAATTAGCAAATATTACAATAGATATACGATTCATTTGTTACACTCATGAGTTAAAGTAATCTTTTAGTTATTCGGTTTTTTTGTTTTTCGGGCTTTTCAGATGATCCGTACCTATGTCATTGACCATAATGCTAATTGAGTTCCTAGAGCGAGAGTATTTACAATGGGAATTCGAGTACCCGTTTCGGTTTGGCTTAGTAACCATTTAAAAGGAGCGAAGAGCGTCTAGGCCTAATGATATTCTATGTAAATCTCAATCTATTTCTGAGCTTAGTATGGAAAAAGTGTAAGTGTTTGGGTAACAAGTTGTTTTTTAGGGTTTCTGGAAAAAGTTCACTCGGATAATCTCTATTAAAGCTTTTCCGATCTCTCTCGTGCATAAATAAACCAATTACAATCCTTTTTTTATATTTTGATCTGAAGTACTTTCTTCTTTTTCTCTTCTTTCTATTTACAGACAATTTTTTCGGTTTGGCAGTGCCACTTTTCGGCTTTATTTTAGCTTTTTTACTTTTACTTTTGGTGTCGCGTGATCATAAGAGATATTAATTGCACATCTTCGGGGGTTATCTGGCGCCCTGTCCTCCCCTCCTCTCTATCTCAATCTCTCTTAAGGGTTCTCTCTAAAGCGAGAAGTACTTGGCACAGGTCTGAGTCCCCGTTTCAGTTTCGAGTGGTCGCTCTTGTTCCTCCGCCTCCTGGTCCTTCCGATCCTCCTGCTGCTGTATAGCTGCTGCTGCTCCTGGTTATGTTTATTTGATTTATATTTTTATAGTTTTTTAAGGCAATTTGGAATGCATGCACATGACACACATACATACACACACACACACAAATATAAAACACAGTGAGTGAGTGAGAGAGAGAGAGAGAGAGAGAGGGAGAAACACAAATACGAGACAGATAGAGAGTGGGAGATTGGGGAAGCGAGAGATAGATGCGATATGATGCGGTTTAATGATCCAAATCGCCAGTTAGCCGGATGCAGTCGGTTGTCAGATGATCGATGATGATCGTGGAGTCATGAGGAACATGATATGTACACCATACCGATCGCCTGATGGGGCAGCACGCTCCCGTGTTATATGATACTCTCTCTGTTCCGTTCCAGCTCCTCCGTCTCATTCTCGGGATCCACGCTGGACGTGGATGACACTCCACAGATTTGCATCTCAATCTCGGCCAGTCGATTTTCCAGATCCCATTGCTGCTGCGAGAGTTTCGTATTCAGAGCTTGATTCTCGGATTCCACCGTATGCAGTCGTTCCCTCAGCCGCTTGATCTCATCCTCCAGAACTTCGTGGGAGCCTAGAAGTGGGGTGGTTCCACCACCAGCCCCGCCCACACCCGCTCCATAGCACTCCAGCTGAGAACTGGAGTCGCAAATGTGACCTAGACGTAGGGATTAAAAAGTTATAGAAAACCCTGCCGTTATATTTTATAGGTTTACGTGCTTACCCGTGTGACTGGGTTGGGATTGGGGTCTTATCGAATGATGTGAAGTTGTTCGACTACGTGGCCGTTCCTCGGATCCATGGGCACTGGGGCTCACCGATCTGGGGGAGTCAGTGGCCCGAGCCAAGCGATCGGCGTAGCTGCGGGGGCTAAAAGGATTATGCCTAAGATTTAGTAAGTGAAGATTGGGTAGTACTATGAAACTTAATAAATACTATTATCAAGTTTTGTTTTCACAATTTGTTTTTTAATTTTGATCTCTTTACTAATTGGTAACCTCACCTGTAACCATGAGTCTGCGAGGACGTTTGGGTTGACTCCTGGCGGTGTGGCATGTGTTGCTGCTGGGACGCCTGATGTTGCTGCTGCTGGAGCGTCTGGTGGTGATGCATCAGCGAGGATGCAGTGGCTGTCGCGGGTGGCAACCACATCTCCTCCAGAGAGGTGCGGCCACAGCTCTCGACTAGGCCAGGCGTCGATTGACAGCGGCCCATGGCAACTACATTAAAGTATTTGACTGTGTTTTAAAATCAAAATCGTTCACAAACGGAAACGGACGCAAATGAAATCGATAACGAAAAGGAAGGAAAGACGGAACGGAAGGCGAAAACAATCGAATCGTGTTATTCTGGGGCAATCGTATTCGTATTCGTATTGGTATCTTTGAATTTCGAGTGGTATTTGTTTGTTGGGGCGGGGATTCTTTTGGTTTTCTGGATGTTGTGTGGTTCGGTGGTATGTGTGATTGGGTGGCAGGTGATTCAGGCGAATGGGAAGTGGATAGCGAGAGGTTGTGAGGTGGGGATTGGGGTTGGAGCAAATAAGACAAGTGCCTTACCTTTCTCCAGCGGGGCCTTCTTGTACTTCTCCAATCGCTTGACGGCTATCGACTCCAGACGAACACGCGCCGCCGGATACTCCTTCAGCACGTCCCACATGTCCTTCTTGCTCAGGACGAAGAGGTCGCTGTATCCCACTGAGCGTACACTGGCTGTGCGTCGGTTGCCTGTTTTTGTTTCGCATCGGGAAAGTTGGCAAAGCAAATGTTTGCCAACGCAAAGAGAAAAGTTTAATGGTCTTGCAAAAAAGCATTTCCCGGAGTGAGTCTTCTATGCGTGTGTGTCAGTATGTGTGTGTGTGTGTGTGTGTGTGCTCGAGTCAGTGTGTCTGTCGATTCTTCTTGTTGACTTGGGCGCACAAAGACATTAAAATTGCATGCCACACAATATGGATGTTAGGAGAGAAAAAAGGAAATAGGAAGTAAATATTGAATGGGATCAACGGAAAACATATTTTGATTAAAATCCATATATATATATTTAGATATCCAAATTCAGTATATGCAATATTTTGCAACCTCAAGAAGCAAGCAAGAAGAATCGGTTGTAAGAGTAGATTGTGTAAACGGGTCGTATACTTAATAGAAATTACACAACTCTCAATACAATTACGTGTAGAGAAACGTTTAAATTACGTCCAGGCAAAGCAATACAACAACAACATCGACTCAGAGAGAGAGAGAAAGAGACAAAGAGATTAAAATATAGAGACAGAGATAGCAGGAGCGACTAACTAGCGTAAGAAATTGCGTTTCGGTGCTAAATTCCTGTAGGCAATTCTCATCGTTGAGCGCACATGAATGAAACTAAACCAGAATAATGCTTAAATCATGCAGAAACACAAAGAACTTTAAACAATTCGATTTCGCCCATCTCTAATTGTTTTTCGTGATGCTGGGTGGGGGATGAAAGGTGCGAGGTGTGCTAAAACTTCTTGGGCCACCTCCTCTTAACTTTTGTCTGCAAATTGAGTTGCTCTCGCCACTCTTGCACTTTCCCAAACTCAATTAGGTGGCACACGGCTCCGATGACGCCTTCAAGTATGCAACGAACAGATATCGCACATGCATTTGGATGGCGCCCAATCCTGTTAATTATGATGAGCACGGGTAAGGCCGCAGTGAATCGAGTTTACACTTGGTTGGCCAACTATTACACGCGTTTAAAGCTACGTAAAGTTCAGGTAAATTGCATTATATTTTTTTTTCGAAACCCAACCACAATTATTGCATCCCATTTTTTTCTTTCGTTTGGCTGCAATAAAAATGTCGAGAACAATGAAAGCGCGAGACCCGTGTGAGTGCATGCAGGTGCAATAATTGCATTTGACATTCATTAATTTTTCAACCCTGTGAAAAGGGTGTGCAATAAAAATTCGTTGCATACTCTTCGGCGGGGCGAAATAAAAAATATGGTAAAGTTAAACTTGCAAAAACTGATCGTATAAAAAATAAATAAACGAAAACTTTGTTTCCCATATGGTATTAATAAATTAAAATGTAAATTTTATCAAAATTGAATCGAGTGCTCGGCTAGTTGGTTACATATGTGCTGCGGGAGGGAGGGTCTCTAATCTATATGTGTGTTGCTCGGTGGGATCGGGGGGGACTGGACTCCAGTTAACACTTAGTTGCACAATTAAAAGACAATTGCATTCCACACATAGACACAGATACGTTGAATGCTTTCTAGAGTGTGTGAGTGTGTCTGTTGATTAATCGATTTATTCTTGATTTTTCTTGACTTTGATCTTTGGGATTGGAAGGTTGTTGTAGTAGTTACGTTATCGTTATTGTTCCGCCTGTCGCACTAAAACGGGATATTTACCAAGTTCTTTACCTGCGGTGCCCATATTGAGTATACTAATCTCGCCAAAATAGGAACCAGCCTTCAGGGAGGCCATCACCGTCTTTCCATTGTCGGCCACCACCTGCAATCGTCCTCGATTCACAATGTACATCTCCTTGCCAACCTCGCCTGAATCGCCAGGATTGGAATAAAAACTATAATGGATATCGAAGGGATTGAGTTGAGCTCTTAGGGACTCACCCTTTCTGCAGATGTAGTCGCCGGGCGAGAAGAGCACGGGCCTCAGGCGCAGTACCAGTTCGCATAGGAAACCGGCCTCGGTGTTTTGGAAAATCTCCACCCGCTTAAGTGTATCTAAATGGACGTTAATTGCTATTTCAGCCTGCCGGAGTGGGTAAGCAGATTCGGAATCGAGAAAGATTTAGCATTCAGTAATGGACAAATCGTGTTCCGGGGCCTAAGACTCCCCGTGCACTTACCTTTAATTTATCAGGAAGACAGGACACGGCGCGCTCCTCGTCCGAGCATTTTTGCGTAAGCCACAGGTAATCGAACCATTTGATGACCTTCACCTGCAGATGATTCGGCACACGTCGCATCCGCATGTACGTCTTCACGCCATCCAGCTTGGCTAAGATACAAACAGAAAAAACCAAAAAAAAAAAAACAAGAAAAGGAAAACAGAAACAAGAAGGGAAAATGTTTTATTTGTATTTGCTGAGGATTTTCCTGGACATTGATACGCGACCGGCATACAAAGTGCGTGGAAATTAGGGGGTTGTACAATGGTATGCAAGATGATGGTCAGCAAATGTTATTCCTTTTTTTGTAGATGGGAAAATATTTGTTTTGGGAATGACACAAAATTACTCTTTTCTTAGAAGTTTTTGGCCGAAAAAATTGTTTTGAAAGATGATTATTTCTGGTACATTTTTTAGCAAATGTAAACTCCACTCGTGAATTTTATACCCAGTTGTTTTGTTTTAGAAAAACTCTACTTTCAGTTTTAAAGCAAAAACATTTCATAAATATGGTAAATATAAAAAGAGTAAAATTAAGTATCCAGCTTGACCACAAAATGTTGTAACTTATTCCACCGTACATAGGCTTTACTCCCTAATCGTTCAATCAAGATGGTCTGCATAAATTTGTAATAGAAGGCTTTTAGCTGTCCGGCAGATATAAGCTCTATTTGGCCCACCTGGCGTATGCTTGATATTGATTACTGCAACTTAGAAATCGCCTAGCATAGCCCATCTTGTGTTTAGCCGGCAATTAACAATCCCTTCTGCTCGAGGAGCACGCACAAAGGAGCTAACCACTTGTATCGGTGGGTTAGTGGTTGGCGTGCCCGAGGTGCAGTTGCAGCTTAACAATGAGCGATGTTCAGTCGATTGGCCAATAGATAGACCCATGGGGACGTGGGGCATTCCATGTGACCAGACAAGATGCGAACACGACTCTCTGTTTGAGCAATATTGATGACAACTGGCTTTTGTTTTTAGTCTCCCAGCACTAGCGCACTCCACTGCGAGTCATCCCCAGTCGATAAGAGGAAATTAAATCTCTTGGCTCGTCAGTGGTAACAAATATTGACACAATTTGTCGGCGCTTGCCAAAGGGGAATGAAAATGGCGAATGGGCGGCGGCAGGTGGAACTCAACCGAGCTCAACTGAGTGAGTGCTGCGTCTTTTGTGTTTGCTCGTGCAAACATTTGAAAACCAACTGACAAACAGGCAAACAGATTGAATACAAATAAATACCCAGTTACCGGGCTAAAAGTCCAGAGGGGAGGCGTGGAGCATGGCTAGCTACGACATCATCTATAATGCAATCAATCGTCAGCTCTCCTCCTGCCCAGATCCCACATCCACAGGCTCCACACTCCACACTCTACACTGCAGACTCCAGATCCCAAAGCTCAAGTTTTCCCTGTTGGTCATTTGTCATCTCTCAATTGTCAAATGTCTTTTGTTGTCCAACTCAAATTTCCGTTCGCTTGTCTAATAAGATTGGAGCCAGGGGATCGGTGGTATGGGGATAATGGAAATTGAAAGCTTTTTTTCATAATTGTGATAAAAAGTGACAGTTTGACTCGGTAGAACCTTCTTCTTAACTGAGTTAACTTAACGAGTCCTACGGAAACAACTTTAATTTCGGTTTCCTTTTAGCAATAAACATCGCTTAACCATGGATTTTTTTCATTTTAAAGACAATCTTAAACTACGTAGAAGTAATCAATGTAATCTGATACAATGCGTTTAATGATAATCGTTTTCAATTAATATCGAATATTAAATCAAAATAGGGCTTGTGTGGAAAGCTTATGGATAAAAGTTTACCAATTTAAAGGATTTACTCCTTTTAAATTGCATTTTGAAATTAAATAATAATTACTTTAGCTAGAAGGCAATGAAGTCAGCAATGAAATTTAATTTAAAACGTAAATAATCTCGAATTAAGCTTTATAGTCCGGATTTCTGATTACGTTTTTCGCTTGGTTTACTCATGTTTGTGTCCTACTTTCGAATGTTTTTTTTTTTTTGTGTGGCAAAGTGAAAGATTATTGAATGGCAGTGTCTGCCTCTTGGCAGCCATTACACATATCGGATATGGATAACGTTAGAAATGGCGTACACACACGTAGCCAGCCATGGTGTTCCTCCCCTTTTATCCCTTCCCTCCTCCTCCCTCCTCCCTCCCCCCTTAGATCCTGTTCGATTTTCTATATCCAACATTTCAATGATACGAGAGCCATGCAAAATTACAACGATTTTTATTGCGGCGCGCTGCTTGAATGCATTCGACACCCTCTCCCCTGTTCGAATTTCCACACATTTTCCGTTTCGTTTTGCCCCCGCTTAGTTGCTGGCACGTCCTTTGCGGGTTTTTGTTACAATTGAAAATCAATCTAAATATTAATTGCATATTCCATGGCAGCCGGCAAAAATAAACAAATAGAACAGCAGTGAGTCCTTTTGCTTTTGCCTTGTATTTTGTGCGGTTGGCTCAGTAATTGCGGTTGCCTTCGATAGACTCCTTTCCTGTCTCCGCCCTAGCTCTGACACTGGCACTGGCACTGGCACTGGCTCTGTCTCATGATGGTTTTTGGTGTTTTTAGAAATTACTCGAGCTTTAATTCCTTTGCTTGCTCTGTGGCTGAGCTGAGCTTATCCTGTTTCTTCCGTCCTGTTTCGTTTGGTTACGTTTCGTCCTGCTTCCTGGCCGTCGCCTCTCCTCTTCCATTTCGTTGCATTTTGCGAGCAAAATTTAATTTGCCATTTTTTGCCCTCAAGTCACTTGGCTGCGTTTGGCCAAAAAGAAGAAGCAGCAGAAGCAGAAGCAGAAGCAGAGCAGGGCAAAAAGTGCATTTGGCTTCACATTCTGCTTATTTCTTATTTATTTTTCATTTTATGCTCTGCTTCGCCTACAGTTGCCCCCGGCGAACTTTGATCTGCTTCTGTTGCAATTTTCGATGGCGGGATTGCGGTCTAACTGGTTGTTTCTTTTTTTTTATGTATTCTTTTTTTTTTCTTTTATTTTTCAGGTCGTCGTGGCTTGGTGTCAACTCAAACTAAGCGGTCCCGTTTCCCAATAATTACATTTACTGTTTTGACTCCACTTTTGTCTCTCGACTGACAGGCGAGGACAATTGCCGCCGAAGGATCAACTGCAGACAAAAGTCGGTATGGCATAGGTGGGCGTTGGACTTGTGCTTTAGTGGCTGATATGTGTGTATATATGTGGTGGTGGTTTGGTGTCTGTGAAAGAAATCTGGGTGCAAAAGTTCAGGCCATTGTCTAGCAGCGAACTGCTGCAGCAAGTTTCCGAGCGAACAAAGGGGGGATCACATACAAACAGTAAATATGCGTGACAAAAACTTGCTCTTCCTGTGCCACAGTCTTTTCATAAAACCGCCACACTCACACCCCATACATGCATTCAGAAAGATGAACGAAAAACTAGGGAGGAGCAAGAAAAAACGCAGGATTGTGGGGTGTCCTGGCCAAGTGAAAATTGCAAACTAACTAGAAACCACTTAAGAGTCAAGCTGATGTGTTATGCCAAAGACGGAAGTTGTGCTGCTCGGGAGCCAGGAGACTGAAGACGGAACAATGGCCCCTGATGGGAGTTGGTCTTGTCGTGGACGAGAGGGAGGATGAAGACGAGGGAAAAAGAACGCTCTGGCATTTACTGAATGCGCACAGGAATCGAAGGAATTGTCTGCGATTATCACCCGAGTGCAGAGAGTACTTGCCGCAATTCAAAGTGAAGGAAAGTAATGGTCTGCCGTTTCTCCACCTGCCATTTCAAATGGCTTTTTCCAAATACGGAAAACAAATATCATGGATTTACAATGGATCTATGCGAATGAATAAAGGGTAATGGCTTGGGAAAGGTGTCCTAGAGGTGCAATTTAACTTGTTTTGCTTCATTGGTTAGGTTTAATGCATATCTTTTTGGTTCTAGAAAAGGTGAAAACTTATATTTCTTGATCTATAATGATGATTATGATGACAAGGTTGGTGGAATGCTAGCAACCCTTTAAGTCTGTTCTAATAAAACAACCCAACGTAACGTTAAATCAAGGCAGGAAACTCAGCAGAAAATGTAAATCTCCTTTTAAAAGTGTACAAACTGCAATCCTCTAACAATTTCAATACCTGCCCATCCGGAAATATAACAACCAACAAGCCGGAGATATAGGGCTTACCATCAAATAGTGGAGACTCAATTTCAAGCGAAATGCATTCGGCCTCTGATTTTTACACCTTAATTATGCATTTACCTCCGCTGTTGATTCTACTGCTGCTGCTGCTGTGGCTGTTGCTGTTACTGCTGCTGCTGCTGCCTGGACTGCGGACTGGACTGGAGCAACAAACAATGGAACATGGAAGCCATGTGGCAAGTGGAGCCGAGCTGAGGCAAGGCTGATGGTCGGATGAAATGCTGGGGATGGATTTATTCAGGCGGTAACTAAAAATAAATGCGGTGAGCACCTCGCTGCGCCAGCAGTTTGCAATAACAATGCGCATGCCAGCTGCATCAGGAGCTAAAAGCTGAATGCTGAAATCCTTGGGAAATTCGCCATTCAAGGATAATGGAATACTTTGCCCTTAAAGAGCAGCTACATGCCGTAATACAACGGCACAAAAAGCAACAAAAAAGCAAAAAAAAAAAAAAAGGCGAGAGGAACAAGAACAACAACTGGCATGTTCTAAAAATACGACAGTAAGTTGGTGTACATGCAGCTTAATGGGCAAAAGCGGCCACCAGCGGCGACTGCGTCTACGATATTGATTGGAATCCGCATATACATATATATATTCCCATACCAACACACACACACACACACACACTCATACACACACACGGTTACAACTGTGGGGCATAACCAGAAGCAAACATAAACTCACACAAACACAGGACATTGCTGTGGCAAGCAAAAGCAAACAGCGAAACGAACAACAAACACAAACCAAGCTGAACACATATACCCAGGCAGAGGGGATACCAGGACACTCGCACACACATACAATCACACTCACACTCGCACAGCAGGGCGGGCAACTTAAAGTGGATAATGGACGTCGCTGCATGCCCTTTTTTACCCGCCCACTTCCCCTCTTAAAAGAGGCAAAAGGAAAAGGGGGGGTTTGGTGAGCGAAAAAAAAAACGAAAGAGGTACGGACCAAAAGGATCTGGCTTAATCGAAGAAAACGATACCCTGGAAAGGCACGGCAAAAGTCCTTTGACAGATGCTATCATTCACGAGATGTCTCGTTTGAGAAGGATACGTCAGATTACGTCTGTACCTTTTACACTTTTCATTAATTTATCACTGAAGGAAAATGTGCTGAGGAAAATGATTGTTAAATTGGGTTCATACTATTTATAGATTCTTAATTTGATCTAGAAGCTATCTTATAATCTTATAATAAGTTCAAATCAAGTTGGAGTAACCTCAAAAATAAATATTCCACATAAACTTAAACATGTTTTTAAGGATATTAAATCTGTGATGTAAGGATCTACTTAAAATCATAACATTACCTTCGTGTACTCAACATAAAACGCTTCAGGGCCTTAAAGACATAAAAACCAGTTAATGCAAAATCGAATCCAACTTAAAAAGAAGCACTTTAAAGTCCTTGAATTCGCTCAGTGTGCGGAAAGGATATCGCCGGGACCGGGCCAATGTCGAATGGCTGACGCGCGTTCTTGGCTTAGTTCGTTTGCTTTTCGTCACTTTGCCTCGTTGCTATTTTTAGTGCCACTATTGTGGGCCAGCAGAAGCAGCAGCAGCAGCAACAACAACAACAACAACAACCACAACAAATACAAGGGCGGGCAACAACACTTTGACCATTATGCATTTACCAAGTCGAAAACGCTTGGCTAAGGCACTACAAATCTCCTGGGAGCTCTCTGAGCTCAGCTGGCTGAGAACTCCCGCTCAGCTCCTTTAGCCACCATTCATGTTTGCTTTTGCTGGCTTAAATTGAGCGCGTAAATTGTTTTAATTGCGAGGCCATAAGGCAAGTCCGAACAAGCCAAGCCAAGCCAAGCCAAGCCAAACAGACGTTAATTGTAAATGAAGACTGAGGAGCTTTCTGCCAGCTAGCAGAGAGCGATAAAGAGAAAGCGGAAAATGCCATAAATATTTAAAAACTAAATAAAGCAAGAAATGAAATTGGAAAAATCCACAGGAACACACACACACACACACACAATAGAGATGATTCATATGCAAACTGTCCGCATACATCAATCAAGGTCCGTTGACAGTTTTGCTGACAGCGGGAAAATTTGCATAAAACTATTTACAATAACAATTACATAATGGGACCTGGGGGATGGGGGCAGATATGCACGAGCATGGGACTGAATTTCCATAATTTTAAATGTCAGTTTTTGAAATGGTGTTTGGACTGTTGCCAAAACAGGCAAAAATTCAATACACATAGCCTTTTACAGTGAATGTCCTGAATGCGAGCAGGTTGGGCGACAGTGTGTGGTTTTTCTGCACGGAGAGAAAATAAACTTAAGTTTAAGAAAGGTATTCAAGTTTCCCATTTCCTGAACTTGTTAAGTCTTATTTATTCTGTGGTTTTCCAATTAGTTTCTATAAAACTAACTGTTTGGAAACATTGATAGAAATTATATAAAAATTTAGAACCTTTGCAATGAGTTACTATAAGTGTCATATAATATTATTATCATATTGAAAAAAATCTAAAATAAATCTAGATTATAATTAAAAATCAGATATTTGAAACGTTGATCCGCGTTTTATACTCCAATTTTGAAAGATTTTCAGCAACAACTTCCACATTTTTCGATTCAAGAACTTTTTCAAAGTAAGTACAAAATTAGAAAAAGTTGTTTGAAGAATCTTTTTCACATTGTCCAATGATATGAAACAAATAATATGTTTTTATAGATTTTTTCTCGCTTCGACTTAATCATGATGTGATGATTAGAAACCTTTAAGACTCCTAATTTTTACCCAGAAAGTGCACAATGCACATGATTAAATTTTTAACCATAAGAAGTTTTTCCATAGCAGCAGTTCCTCTTTTTGATTTGACATTTGATATTATGAGAAATCAGAGTGCTAATAGCCTTTTGATTGTTTTCCCATCGAATTCTATTTACCTAACTTTGATCAATCCGTTTTTAATTTTTCTTCGTGCATTTGGTCGAGTATGTGAGAGCTTGTCGATTATCGCAAGCATTTGGCGAACGGCAAACTTTTGCGCTTGTCGGCGTTAACAAGCCACAGCCATGCGTTTAACTAAGCGTGAATGTAACAGTGTGTGAGTGTTTGTATGTTGGTAGAAGGGTAAGGGGGTGTGGGAGGTAAGGGAGGGTGGAGAGCCTGTCAGCGTGTGGCTGAAAATGTATAATGTGTATGTGTATCGGTCTGTGTGAGCTTGGGTAGAGGCAACATTGTTGCAAAATGATTTTGAAAAAAAAGAACCATCAATAACTCAAAAATAATGACAGTTTTCCACTTGTTGTTGCCTCTCGCCCGCACCCCCCAAAACCAGCGCTCCAACCCCTAAGTGAGGCTAAATGGATGAATAACTTAAGCCAGCTGCTTCGCCTTTCCTCTTAGTGTGCGATGTTATGTAATGTAATAACGTCAATCAAATTTAAAAAGGCAGACCAACTATTTCAAAATCAATTTTCCCACCCCCTCTCTTATTTTATCCAGTGGGGTGGGGGTGGCCAGCATCAGCAGCATCATCAGCATGGGCGGGAAAGTGGAAAAGCAGCGGAAGGAAACAGGAAAGCGACCTCGACTTAAGCAAATACACGAACACGAGCACAAGTTGTTGCTGCATCAGAGGAATCCTGAGTAGGATGTAGAATGTAGGTTGCAGAGCAGCTACAGAGGATGTAGGCTAATGTAGCAGAAGAAGACTCGGGACCCGGGACTCAGTCACTTTGCAAACAGTATAACCCCCCGCCATCACCCCTAACTAAGCCTCTGACTAGCGGAATTTGCAGCGAGGGACCGTGACACCGAGTGAAAAAGTGCCTGCTTTAGTTAAAGTTAAGTTTAAACTTTTGACTGGCTCGTGGTTTTCCTTGTCGTTTTCCCCCTGAGGAAATGTATCATTCGTGTCATTAATCATTCGTCATGTGGGACGGCGACAACATTTCATTTGCTTATCATCTCGGCTCAAAGTCTTTGGGGGAATGAACGGAACAAGAGCAGGCCTCAAAGTTGAATGAATCAAATGGGCTGGCGGAAAACTTATTGCTAAGCCTAGAAATCCCTGACAAGTCAGTGGCTTCCCGTCCTCAGAGAACAAAGAGTGAGCTTAAGTCTAGCATTTGCAGAAATCAAGGGAAAAACCATAAGGAAAACGGAATTGTTAGTGATTTTTTTTATTTTAGAGAATAATAAATGCAATTAAATCTTGTAAATGATAAGGAACCACCTTTTTAAAGAGTGAGACGACTCAAACAATCAAAGTTCTCGAAACTGGGCAAGGATTAACAAGATCTGGAGTGGACACTCCTTTCAAGCCAGCGAGTGTGAGAGCATCTATTCAATTTGTTATTTGTGTGCCATCTCCAAGCCTGCTTGATTTTTTATGGCCAGCACTCCAGCACAACTACTGCCCATCATCATCATCATCTAACATCATTCCTGTCCCATGGCCGGCCACTCAAAGGCAAGCGCTGAATTGACAAATTGATGGATGGTTCTCCAAACGCTGCATGCTCCAGCATCTCTCCTTTCCTGTGCTTTTCCTTTTTTTTTTCTCATTTTTGTGTTTACTTTTTATTTTTCCTTCATTGCCCCTTGTAGCAGTATATGATGCATTATTATTCTGGAAAAGTTTGCGACCGCAACAACAACAATTGCTTGCCTAAGTGTTTTATTAGCAATCGAGAACAGAGTTTGAGTTCGGTCGAGTTGAGTTGATTGTCAGTTTCCATACACATTGACTTTTTTACCCTCATGTATATATTGTACGTAAACCATTTTCCTGAAATTCCTTTGGCGATTTATTGGTTAGTATGGTTCCTTTTGTGGATAATGAGCTGACGAACGAGCAGATCGATGAGCTGAAGGATGCCTTCAATAGGTACGACCTGGACTCGAATGGCACCATATCGGTCACCGAGATGCGTTTGGCTTTGATTTCAATGGGCTACGCCATCACCGAAGCGGAGCTATATGATATCATCAATTCGGTGACTACGGAGAAGGAACATGAAATGACTCTCCCACAGTTTATGCAAATGATGGCACCACGACTGGCTGATGTGGATAGTAGTGTAACACTCCGCCGGACCTTTAATGTGATCGACCGCGATCACGACGGTTACATCAACAGCCAGGACGTGCGGACGATCATGCTCATACTGGGTGAGGTCGTAACCGATGATGAGGTCAAGGACATTTGTCATGCGGTCGATATGGATGGCGATGGCCGCATAAGCCGGCGCGATTTTATTAACTTTATGCATAGTCCCATATGAACTGGGACTGCTTTGCCAAATGTCCAGAAGTGTCCCTATGCTGACTACAAAATTGTTTGCCTATCTTAAAAATCTTACAATGTAATTTATGTAATACAAAATTAATAAAAAGTGTTACAAAAACAATATTACCATTCTACTTTCTTGAAGATCTCTGCTCTCCTTAATAATAATAAAAAAATCAATCAATCAAATGCCATCAACTTGAGTAAAGATTAATAAATATTTTACTTATCATTATATCTTGAAATAAAAAACAAACTGCATTTTGTCCTGACTTTTAGTTAGTTTAACTTAGTTAAAAATATTTTAAAATTGAAATCCAATAAATGAAGAATATTTCTGTCTGCAGGCTGAATGGAAAGCGAAAAGAAAAAACTGAGAGCACAAAGCCAGAAATTAATTCAACAGCACGTTTCGTCCATTAAGCCGCCAGAGCTTTGCTTGCTGACTTTGCCATCCCTGCCACTCCCCCTCTTGCAGGACATGGGCATGGACACATGTGCAATGGCCACACACACACACACACATACAAACCACATGCAAAGTGTTGTGTAAACAAGTCAGCTGCCAGTTGACCGGCAGCTGCAGGCGGGGCTTAGAGGAGCTGAACAAGAAGAAGATTGAGCTTGGCCAGAAGTAAGAGCCAGCAGAAATCAAGGTGCCACGCCCCCTTGGACTCGCCCACTGGCGTCCAATTGTGCTTTGTTTGCTCCCTGCTGGCAGGAGTCCACCGAACCACCTTGACTCGTTGTCGTCGTGAGTGGCTTTAATATTTTTCAGCTGACGCTGCTCTTAATGAAAGCAAGAAATGATGCTTACCGCTGCCGCTTCTTATTCTCATTTCCGCTTCCTCTAATGCGTCTTCCTTTTGCTATGTGCACTTGAAAAAAAAACCTACTTAAGTTATGTGTTTAGGTTTATGGATAGAGGACTATTCGATTCGCTCAAGAAAATAATGTTTATTAGCTTGAGGAAATCTTTTAAGAAAAAATCTTAGAAACCGATAGGGTTCTGAGACCAATGCCTAAAAGTATGCAGAAATATATTTGAAATACAAATGGCTGAGGAATTCCTTTCAAAAGAAACAGCCTTACAAATGATTTCCAATGACTACAGAATCCTTATTGACAAACAATGAAATCCTTTCAATCCCAAAAATGTTTTTAGTGCAGCTAGGTCTAGTCCTGCTTTGCCTTTCATTTGGCATTTTCCACTTAGCTGACTTGGATTGCTCTTGCATTTCGTCCAGTTATTTATGGCCCGGCCGAGTAAACGAGTTCATTTAGCTAATGGCCGCACGCCCAACTGAGCCTACGAGAGATTCCTCTACGAGTCCTTCGGGTCCTTCGAGCGCTCTTTGTTCGCCACAATGGGCATTACTACGGAGGCTACGGAGCCTGACATTGCCACTGCCGCAGGCACGGGACTAGGCGCAGGCACACCATCATTGCCATAGCAGCGCCAGATTTCAATATTTTGCATAAAATTGGCCGAGATGGCACAGCTTTTCAACCCGCACAACCATATACATTCCCCTTTCCAAACAACGCAGCTTAAGGATAAGTACGAAAGCATTTTCCTATTGTTGTCCTGTTGCCTTTCTTCTTTTTTTATCCGCATTCATACGCTGCGAGGTCCTCTTTCAGTTGTCAGGACAACTATAAGCAACAAGTTTGGTCAGTTTTGGTAAGACTTGGAATTTTTGCCTTGACTGAGATGCTGAAAAATACCTTTGTCGCCGCCATTGTAGACATTTCCTTTTTTTTCTCTCATTTGCATTAATATGGGTTTACGAAAGGGAAGTCAACGCTGGAATTCCGGTGATAAGTTGGGTGGCATATTTAATATTTCCCAAGCTTATCGCTGAGCACTTGCCTTCTTTTATCTCGGCGTCAGCTTTATTTATATGCCAATTTATTGTGCTAAACTAAAATTAGATATTTTGTACACACAAACGAGGGTTTAAAAGTCTGCCCCCATCAATCAGAGATTTTTCCTTTATTTGCATAAAACAAAAACCATAATTAATCAGGCTAAGTACTTTGGATAGCATTCAGGGATATTTATTATTTCTGTGCTGATTGCTGGAAAACTGCTCTCGTTCTTTTATGGATTTTATTCTCTCCATCAACAGTCGTCATAATTTTTGCTATGAAAGCTCTAATGGAATATTTTAATATTTAAATGACTTGGCCGTCAGATTAAAAATGTTATGAGCAATGGCTTGGCTTGGTATAGATAAATAATAAGTTATGGGCTTTAAAGAATTAATATCTTGATGCCATTTTACATTAAACTCACCTTGAAACTCCTTGCGCGCTGCACTCACTGAAGTCACAATGTTGGCCACGTGACCTAGGACCGTGGCGAAGAGCATCAGCCCGAAGAGCAGTTGCAGAATCACAAAGACGTACTCCCCCTTAGAGCGCGGCTTGGGCAGATCCCCGATGGTGGTCAGTGCCAGGGTGCACCAGTAGTAGCTCTGCAGATACTGTTTGACCACGTCCGCAGACTCCGAGTCGTGGTAGACCCAGTTGCGAGATCCGAATCCATTGTTCTTGTGGATGATGTGGTAGAGACAGCCGTTCCAATGGAATATCACAAGCAGGTAGTGGATGAGGGCCGTGCTCCGGAACAGATTCGGGTAGTTGGTGTGCCGCTCGGTGCGATCCATGAAGGCCCAGAACCGGTAGATCTTCACCAGTCGGAAGCTGCGCAGGATCGAGTTGAAGCCAATGGACAGGTAGAGAAAGTCCAACGGCAGCAGGCACAGGCAGTCGATGTAGAAGATCGTCGAGTTCATGTAGTGGGTGCGGAGTTTCAGTGCGTCCGTCTGCAGCACCCCATCCTCCAGGTATCCGGTGCGAAAGTGGAACAATATATCGATCAGATACAGGAAGTCGGACAGGTAGTCCAGGCAAAACCAGATGGCTATCGTTCGTCGATTGATCTCCTGGAAGGCGAAACGGTAGATTATCACCCAGAAGTTGTACAGGAAGGCCATGGACACCACCATGGACCAGTAGTAGCACAGTCGCCCCGCCGGATCGAAAACGAAGTGCAGTTTCCTAGCCGCCGTTGCTGCTCGAATCCGTTGCGAGGCCGTTCGTCGTGGTTTCTGATGGTGCGGCTGCCCGCCATGAGATCCTGGCCCACTGCCTCCTCCACTGCCGGCGCCACCGTGATGCGGGTGATGTGGATGGCCACCGTGAGGTGGTCCAGGTCCTCCCTGCGAGGGGGGGCCATGTGCGTGCGGGTGGTGCGACACTGTGGAGGCCGAGTGCTGCAGCTGGTAGGGGTGATGAGCCTGTTGGGCAGCATTGTGGTGCCCCTGCTGCTGCGATCGGGAACGCGGATAGCTATAGGGAAGGGATAGAAATTAGGTTAAAGCAAGGTGTTTATCAGAAGCGAGTCTAGGAAATGAGGAATGGAACCACTAAAGGAACCTTTTAGCATTCAAGTGATTTCAAGAGATAAAGAAGGAGGAATGTATCATATGGACAACCAATTAATGACCAACACTCACCGATCTGTGCCGTTGCAGTAGTTGCCACCATACTGGTTGTGGCCGCCCATGGCCAAACTGGTGGCTCCGCCGCCGGCCAGCGTGTTATCCTGCGAGCCGCGGCCCGTGGATCGATTCCAGGTGCCCAGGAGCGGTTGGTCGCCGCTGGCAGCCGCTTTCAGGCGACCCCGCGACTTGTTGCGTTGCTTGTTGTGCAGAAGATCCATTTCTGAGGCAGTGCTTACGGTGGCCATGTGCGAGTTGGAGGCCCTGGAGGCGCATGGTGTGGCCAGGCTATCGTGCGAAGTGAAGAAACCTTGTTGCGAGACACTCTGCCCGAATTTCGGCTGGGTCATGCCAAACTTTGGTCCTAGATCTGCGAATTGTAAGAAAAACAAAATTTATTAATAAGTATTTAAAGGCTTGTGATTGATTATTTATTTTGTTTTAATTCTGGCTAGTTTCAGGGTTTAGGAGAGTAAATCTGTCCGTATAAACTGTGACCAATCTGAATCTGTGGGGTACAGACTTCCTTGGAAAATCCCAGCAATTTTGTACATGAATTTTATATGTTTTAAACTGAAAACACTTTTTTGCTACAAAATTGCTGGTGATTTTTAAAAACATATTCATTAACTTTATTCTTTCAAGGGTTTGGGATCACGTGGCCTTACCGAGAAAGCTCTGGCGATCGATCGAGAAGCGACGCAGGCTACCCAGATCGATGAACTGCTCATCGCCGGCCATTGTGGGTGTAATCGAGAGTTCGGTTGTGTGTATGGCGGCACCACCACCACCACCACCACTGCCACCCACTTGCGATGCACTAGCAACACCACCAGCCTTTGCACCGCCACTCGTTGATGAAATACCACTCGAACCACCGCCCACAGTGAGATTTGTACAGGTGGTTCCACCACCCGCACTTCCGCCCATTCCGGCGCCCAAATAGCCGGCATTGCTGGCATAGAAGCTGCCATCCAGCTCAGCCATTTGCTGTTCATAGGCGGTCAGTGGGTTGATTGACCTGGAGCTATGATCCCGATAAAGGGGGCGGGGCGAGGGCATCAGTGAAGGGTTGAGCAGCCCATTGAGCGAGAGGCGTGGCTGCATGATCTCCGGGAAGCTGGCCCTGGGCGCTAATCTATGGCCAATGCTTGACTGAGATGTTGTTGCTGTTCTATAGTTGCTGCTGTTGCTGTTGCTGTTGCACTTATTGCTGTTGCTGTTGCTGTTGCCGCTGCTGTTGTGGCAGCTGTTGTTTTGACGTATTGCGACTGTTGTTTTGGTCTGCGGCCTGTCATTGTGAGCGGCGTAAGCCTGAGTTTGAGCCTTCTGAGCCGGAGCCCTCAGCCATCGTTCATCATCGTCATCATCGTTATCATCATCGCTATAACCATCGACATGGTTTTCGTTGTCATTGCCATCTGCATCGCCATCTATGGCCGTCGCACGCCTCAAACTGGGCGTGGGAGCTGCCGTTGCCACCATTGTTTCATATTTTTTTTTGTCGATTAATTTGTAATTGGTTTCGCATTGATTTATGTTCGAATGGGAAAAGCACGAGAAATGTGATCAGAGTATAGAGTTTCATTAATTGCAAATTCTCCATTAATAACATTTTTTTGTTTTTTTTTTTTTTTTTTTTTTTTTTGGGGTTTTCTAGAGCGATTGGAAGGGTTTTAAAGGCACACACACACAGAAATGAGCGAATAAATCACAATAAGAACGAGTGAGAGAGGATTGGTTTAGTGGTTTGGTGGTGGTATTTGGTGGCTACAGGTGGTTTGCTGGTTGGTGGTGTTGAAAGTGTTGGTCTTTAACAACAACTCAACTGCAATAACGATATCAAATAGCAACAGCATTCAACAAGAAACAACAAAGAGACGTACAAGAACATAGGTAATTGTATAACTAGGACTTAGACGTAGGTATTGGGGTCTTGGTCTAATTAACTGTTACCAGGGCTTTTACTTTTACACAGTGAACATTTTGGGTCTTAAAAACTATTTGTAAATTTTTAAAATCACTTAAGTTTTAATCCAGAGATTACACTTCAATTTCAAAGGCATTTCTTCAATAAAAAACGCTGTCTAAAAGTAAGCTCTGAAATGTCTGAACACTCGACAGATTCCCTTGCCTACTTTCAGGCAGCGACTAAATATTTTTGAACTTTGTTATTTGAGTGATATATTAAATAAGTAAATAGTAAAATTGCAGAAAATACATTTAAATGAAATATTTTTCTCTGTGTACGAATTGCATGCAAAGCTTAATTTTTGGACTGTAAGGTGAGGGTGAGTACCTTCGCACCAAAGTTGCTCTATCCCCATTTCAAGCCCCTTGGAAATGTGCTAATAAAGTTAGATTTAATTACGTGCGCCTAAATGGAGCATGCAACAAGGAACAAAAACCGAGAAGATCTAAGCAGATGAGGAGGACACACACGGCGTAGGAGCTTCATTACTTTTAACCAGCTGCCTGGCAACTGCCACTTGGAAATTCATGAGCTGCCACACGCAAAGGATCCGTACAGATTGGCCCAGGAGCTCCTGGCCAAAGGACTGGCTCAAGTGCCACTTGACTGTCGAACGAACAGCTAACAGACAATGCCCGGGACTGTGTTGGCTTCAAGATATTTGTATCTGTATCTGCGATGTCGCCAGCGAACTGCGTGCGGCGTCAATTTATTTCTATTACGAGCCGTTCGTGTTCTCCGCCTGTTGCTCTCCTCCAGCGACAAGGACAAGGTCACCTATACCTATACCTAAACCTATAGCTTTTCTTGCCCCCCAACTGAGTGCCTGGCCATTGATTATTGGCAGACCGCTTTTAATTATTGCTCAGCTTCTGGCCAACGTAATTCAATTAGGCCACCAAACAATGATGCTGAATAGATTGCCCAGAGTCGAGTGTCTGACTCGTCGCGTCGCGTCGCGGGTAAAATGCAAAAAATGTCAATTACTTTAGGCCCACCTGCCACTTCTGGCCCTCCTTCCTACTTTCCACACCTTTCTGCTCCTTGAACACGAGTTTGCACTTTACTCGCTGGGCAATAATTTCTAATTAATTCGCGCTTAATGGCAACATACAAATCAACTTGACCGCGTTTATTTATTAACTAATTCCACGTCATCCACGCCCTTCCCGAGATACTTTTGCGGTTGGCAAGCCGGAAAAATAAATGTTATTTACCACCGAATGCATTATTAATAAATTCCGCAGCTCTCACTACAACCCCTCTTGCATTAAATGTAAATACACCTGAACTTTATCAAGCTAATATACTACCTTAATCCGCTTTTGGCAACGAAATTGAGGGGAAAATGTAAGTATATTAGGTTACAAAATAGAATCAAATAATCAGTGAAAGGTAAAACAATGTTTGCTAGTAAACATTTAGCATTTTGAACTTTCTAAACTGTTGCTGAATGTCTGTTAATAGAAGTTATTTGAGGAATATTTCAAAAAGCAAATTCCTCTATTAATTTATAGATAAATTCCATATCTGGGCTTTCTATTACTGTGTAACTGTAAAGGATTAAAGGCAGAAATTTATTGCACTTGCTTGATTTTACATGTTCCTCAGAAACTTTGTTTGCCTGAGTGCATTTCAATGTCTAGTGAAAGTTCGGTCTACACGCAAACAACGTCAATGTACTAGTATTGCGTCATTGGCAATTTACAAGCCTGTTGCCCACTTTCAGGCGCTGTCACCGCAAATTGGGCCGTTTCCTGGCTGAAGCTGAAGACATATACATACACACTTATACATGTACCAGATGAGAGAGGGATGAAAGCCCATCCCTGTCCCTGACCGCATTCCAAGTTTGCAGACATAATCTTGGCACTATTTAATTTTGCTAATAGTTGAGTGTCATTAATTTAAACTTTTGCGCTTTTTGGTTTGTCTTGGCTGCGGCCTCGGCGATAACAAAAAAGGAAAGGGAGGAAAAGGGAATCTCCAGAAGTAGAAGGAGGAGGAGAAACAGCGCTGAGTGAGATAGAGCGAAGAAAAATGAAAAATCTTCAGCTTAATGTGCGGCACTTTGTCATGGCCTGCCAGCCGGAAACGGAAACTTGCGACAAACTTGCGCAAAAGTTCAACAAAACGCTTGAACGGCCTCAGTCACACAGGGAAAAGGAAGAGATGGGTTTCTGGGTAACCACGGGCCATGAATTGTCAATAAATTTGCTTGCCGCAAATCATCACAAGTTGGTTCAGCTTCGGTTACTTTTTGCCTGCCCAACGATGTCCCAAAAAAAAAAAAAAAAGAAAAAGAGAACCGAACAGAAAAGCGCCAATTCACGAGAATTTCGGACAAAAACTAAACCTCAATTATTTGGTGCAGCTGCCTCGGCAAATGAAAATATTTGAGAACACAAAATACTTTGACGAAAGTTGGCGAGCAAACTTTACTTAAACATACTTGAGCCTTACACAAACACGCGGCCGGCAAATGAAAAGGGGTGGTGGTGTGGTGAAGCAGTGGTAAAAAAAAAAAGCACAGCTCAAAGCGGAAATGGAAACTTAAACGACACAAAAAGGAAGTCGAGCCATAAGAACATTATACTGAAACAAACTTCAAACGCCTTCAGGCGAAGGCCAAGCAGAACCAGCTGCCAGATGAACCGAGGCAACATGAATCTACCTCAGCATGGCAGGTAAAAGAAAATCGTTATCGAATCGGAAATTCAAGTCATTAGTATAAAGAAAACGTTTAAAATACTTTTTGAATACAAAACAAAAAGGCATAAAAACCAGAGTTAAGCCTTTACTCTATAGTAATGGCTGAGTCACTTTTAATTTTAGAAGATTCCCACACAAACAGCCTACCATATCGGTATCTATCAATCTTTAACAAAAACTTAGTTAAGATTTACACTTTTATATGAGAATGAAATCTCAAAATGTAACCCTTTCCATATTGATATTGACGATGGCGATCTGTAGTGGAGCGCATCGAATGAAGCGATTGTCTTCTCCAAATTTCCATGACGAGACCCTTGAACTAGCCAAATATGTGGTTTCAATCAGATCGAGAACTCCAGTCAAATATTTTGGCGACAATCACTATTGTGGAGGTGGTCTTCTGACTTCGGAATGGGTTCTAACCTCCGCCCACTGTGTTATGGGGTAGGTGGCGGTTTTTCCCAGATCGTTTAATCTTAAACTCTAATCCCTGCTTTCTTAGCCAATCCAAGATCATGTATAAGGCTCGGTGGTTGCTGGTAGTTGCTGGATCGCCAAATCGAGTGCGACATATCGCTGGGAACACAATCTGCAGTCCGGTTTCGAGGCTGTACGTTCCAAAAAACTTTACCATGTACAACACCTACAACATGGCTCTTATGAAACTTCAGCAGAGGATGCCCTTGGATCACCCTCGCATTGGATTTCTTCATCTTCCGAGTGCAGCAGCTACAATTGGATACAATTATTCCGTTCTCGGGTGGGGAAGAATGTACCATGTACGTGCCTTAGGACAGTTACTGAAGTTAGTTAAAGATTTGTATTCTTTTGATACTTTTCTAGGGTGGACCCTTGGCAGTGATCATATATCAGGTGGAAGTGGTCCTCCTGGATAAGGAGGTTTGTAAGATGCATTTCCGTCACTACAGCGATGGAATGATGTGTGCTGTAATAGACCAGGGACCAGAGAGAGGTCAACCCTGCAGCGGTGACATTGGGTCCCCGCTATTAAAAGGAAATGTGATTGTCGGCATTGTGGCCTATCCGATTGGATGTGCCTGCAAAGATGTTCCCTCTGTCTATACGGATGTATATAGCGGTGTAAAGTGGATCAGGCAAACGGCCTTTGGCTTATCCAGCACCATTGAGCCTATGCCCTTCATCGTCTTCCTATCGATTTTTCTAGTTCAGGTCATAAAATGCTAAATTTATGAATTTATTCTTTTTAAATGCCAAAATTTGTATTTGAATTGACTAATAAGAAAAGTAATGTTTTCAGTAGTACTAAAATACAACAGCGTAACCCTCGTTACACAATTTGGTTGATGAGCTAACTCTGAAACCTGTCACATTAGGGCAGCACTTGCGTTAGATTAGTGACACGGACAGCCTGGTAACCAGTGACACTTTCCGCAGATCCTGCCAACGGTCCTTTCCCGCTCTTAATTGGCACAAAAGCACGGACAAGGACCGCGTCCATGTGGCTTTAATTGACATTGCCCGCCCCTCGGCCCGAAAAAGGGCAATAAAGCACTCAAAATCTGATTTTCCAGAGCTGTGAAATGAAAGTGGGGGAAATTCGATACTCGGCTGGCCAGAGTGAGTGGAAACGTTTGATGCGAGCGAGAATTGAATTTGGGTGCGAGGGGAATCACCTCTCTACCGGTTTCTTCATTCCGGAGTATGGCATTCATAATGCCTGTGCGACGGGTGAACGAATCCCAGCTTATGTTTCTCAGCAGGTAACAAAGGCCAGGCACCTGCTCTCCATTTAAGTAATGAATTTTGTGCATCTTTCCCTCCTTTTTTTTGCTTCTTTTTTGTTTTTTTGATTGCTGAAGAGCTCCGTAGGCAAATGCGTAATGACAACATTAATGCAAACGACTTCATTTAATTAAACGCCCTTTTTAGCCAGCCAGCAAAGGAAACTGAGAAACTAGGGAACTGGGAAACTGGGAAACTGTGTAGGGCGCCATCATCATTGCGACTCATTGGGACTCATTGGCAACATCGCATTACCCAAAAACCCAGCCCCAAACCCATCTTCATGTCCATGCCCATCCACCCCATTCCCGTTCCCAAATGGCAAAGGATCTCGTCCTGGCACTCGTACTCAACGTTTGGTATGCATGAATGCGTATTAAGGTGCGATAGGGGGCGTGCCAGTGTCTATGTAGTTGTGCGCACGTGCGTGTAAGCGATGCGTTGCGAATCTATATACGCGTATGAATGCGTATATGTTTGTGTAGGCGTGGCCAGGTGTAACATCTGGCCCAGATGAAGCAAATGGAGCAGATGTGACAAACTCGCCGCCGAGAAAGCCAATTTAATTAACGCTCGCTGGTCCACGCTGACAACGGAATAAGCTGTCGAAATTCTGGGAATTCTCAAAGCGGAAATAGCAGATGGTCAAGCATGCAGCTTCCGTTTGGCGGTGGTAAAAGGGAGATATACGGATAACGGAAGTCATTCTCCCCTTTAAAAAACTGACAGTTTGATTTCATAATGATCTGAACAAGATGTCTTCTTTAGAATCCGCTTAAGGAAATCCTGGAAGGTACAAAATGATCAATAATTAGTCAGCAAAATAAAGAAAGTGTTTTGTAAGTTTCAAAATTAATTCAAATTAGCAATCCCCTTTAAGGAATTCATGTTGTTAATTTAATTACATTTTAGTTGATTCGAAAGCTTATATCCTTGCCCTTACCATATCAAAAATCAATGTTTATAAATAACTCTTACGTTAACAGCTCTAGCATATACACAAAGAGTTTATTTATTTATAGAAATATTTCCCCAAAATCGAGAATCCTAAAGGAACAATTAGCAACTTTTTTTTTTCAATTAAAATTTCGCATGTGGGAAAATTCCTTTCGACTAACGCCGCTAAATGCACTTTAAATTTTCAGCGCTTTCAATGTATTTAAGTGACTCAACTCATTAGCAATGGAGCAACATGGATGCCACACAGCTGCTGCAACCGCAAAAGCAATAAAAAGCGTTGAGGTAGTGGGCGGTACAAGGGCCGCGGAGAGTGGCGTAGGGGGCCAAAGCCAAACTGTTCATTTGCATGCGCTAGCACTCATTACATTTACATTAAACTTTTAATATGCGCGGACATAAGGGCAAAAGGATGAGAGAGAGTATGCGAGGATAAAAGTGAGCAAGTTTATACGCCAGGATATTCGAGTACGTGCGAGTGTGTGTGTGTGTGTGCAATGCGGGTGCAACACTGAAATTGAGTGACAAGCACTGGCGGCTGCCCGCATCCGAATATCTTTATTTCCCAGGGAATATGTAGTTAATTACATTTTGGCCAGCGCACAATCGTTTCGGCATCTTTTTGGCCTGATTCCGATCCCGCGATTGGGGACCATTAGCTCACCGCTGAGCGGTGGCTAAGCCAGCTGAAAAGCGGCTGTGCCGCGCGGTTCCATTGACATTGTCCCGGGACATCGTCATGAATGGGAGATGAGCTCCCACGTTCGCTTGTCGCCCGTCCCACTTGGCGTATACTTGACACACCGAAAGAAATATGTAAAGGGATTACGGTATTAGGACTTATAAAACAGAGAGAGAGAGGTTGCATAACTTTGACACTTTTTCTTACAATTATTCCTTTTAACCTAAAATATCTTGGTTCCAGCCAAAAAAAAATGTTTAGAGGTCTCAATAAAAATAACTTATTTTAAAGAACACACCAATTTAGCTCAGTGTACGCGTGTTTAGCATGGGAAAAATCCTGGAGGGAGTGGTGGTCACCCGCTATACATATGTGTATGTGTGCAGTCTGCTTGTTCTCGAGTGTAAGTGCATTTCGTTATGAGCTTAGCAAGTCTTATAAATGTTTGCGTATTTGTTTGCCTCGACGACGTTGCTATTTACTTGATGTGACCTCTGCTGTACTGAGTTTGCCCGCTCACAATCTCTCGGCTAAGCAACTGTAACTTGCATCAGCGTGTTTCTGTGTGCTTGTATCTGAATCTGCAACTGTATCTGCGAATGTATCTGCATCTGCTGATGCCACTGTATGTGTGCGCTGGGGGTTAAGACAGCGCTCACAGCACATAAATATCTAAAGGATTCTTGAGTAACTTCTCTAATGGATTTGGGTTAAAAATATACACAAGGGCATGTGGAGGGCAAACAGATACCAACACAAAGACACACAAAAGAAAGTCTTCTCTCCATCTGTGTGTGTGTGTTTGTTTAAGATTTACAAATTAGTTTAATTTAAATTAGAGTGCGAGCACTTAGCAGTCAGTTGCGAGTTAAATGTCAATTGCAGGCACTACAGTGAAACTTGGCTAAATTAAAAATGTGACCATTTCGTCTAGCATGTACAAATTGCTAAGAATTACGCTAGACATAAGCCACGATGAATTATTTCTTATGTTTTGCGGAATTTCCATAAAACCATGGAATTTATTACATGCAGAGGAGTAAGGCGAAAAATCCAGCTCTATCCCCGCAGGCGGCTGTCCTGGCAAGACATCAAAAAGATGAAGCAAATTGAAATGGTACTGGTAATTATTTAGGCCTTTCTCTTACGCACAGGACAATGCGGCCATATTAAACGATTTTAAGCAGAATTTATATGTATATATCCATATGCGTATGCATGCCATAAAGCTGTCCAGGGGCCGTTGTCCCTGCTCCATGTACCATGTCCTGTGACCATGTCCCCGTAATGGGACGAAAGTAATAAGCGTGGGCCACCAGGGCCAAAAGCGAAAACTGAGGGGACCAGCTTATTGTTTACGACGTGCTTAGTGGCAAACTCGGCTTTGATAATGAAACGTTGGCAGGCAACACGCGCTGGCAGTTAACGGCAATTGCGACAAATGCCAAAAGCAGACAACGCCAGACCAACAGCCCGGCTCAGCTCAGCACATGGCCTGTAATTTTGGCCACAAAGTTAGTTGCATATGTATATGTGTGTGTATGTGTGTGGGTGTGTGTGAATCCTTACACTTGACAAAAAAAACTGTACGTTAACGACATTTTCTAGAAGGGATTTTTAAAACTGTTTTCTAAAACTTAAAGTGGAACCAAAATCGATATTATTACTTAATAGAGAGTTACAATTATCAGACAAACAGTTGTCTGCCTACTTAAAGTATCTTCAGTGCTCCCTATCACCAATCACATTTTCCCCCAGTGTATACCTAACAGGGAAGTGTGTAATGTGAGACAAGACAGCCGCACGTGATGTGATTAGGACAAAGCCGCAGACACAAACACTGTGAAGAGGACAAGGAAAAACTTTGAGCTTAGATTTTAATTTTTGCCAGCGATAAAACAGAAGCCAATAGGGCAATTTGAGCCAGCTAGGCGTATGCGTAATATGCCTCCATATCCGCTCTCTTGCCCCCATGCGTATGCAATGAACATTTTCCGCCAGCTGATTATGCAAATGTCATAGAGGGGGGGAATGAGCAAATTCAATTTGGAGTCCTCCTGCAATGGCATAATTGCCGCTATCCGTAAAACTCTCCGTCGGAAACGTTGTCCGAAAAATGTGTTTGCCATTCGAGCACTCCGATTCGGGTCTCGGACTCAAGCCGTGTCCGCAACACTTCAATTAGCTCGACTGCTGGCGCAGCAGCTGGCGCAGCTCTTTATCTTCCACCGCAGCCACAAATCAATAATTCACCAAAATGCAGCTTGCCGTTAAGGTTTCCCTCGTTTCTCAGCTGAATGACTGCTGTGTGCGTTGTGGGAAAGCCACATGGGGAAAGTAAGGGAAAGTGTGGGCGAGGCGAGCTGGCGTTTTCTTCTTTTTACAGCCGATAGCACACGAATCGAGCGAGCATAATGTATGTAACACAAGCAGGCGTTGCAATCGTGTTAAGTTTTAGTGGTGAAGTTTTGCTTTAAGTTTTCAACAATTTCAGGAATGCAATTTTCCTTAAAGAAATCATGCAGTAAAATGTTTTATATTACCTTTGATTTAATAAAAACTTTCCTAACTGAAATCTTCATTAATTCAAAATGAATTTCACTTTATTGAAAATTCAGCTTGAAATGAAAATTTTTTGATGTTAATCTTGAAAGTTTTCCAAAAATATTACTAAACTTTAGTAACTTTGGGGTATTTTAACTTGGTTCTAAAACAGAAGATCCAAAAAACAAAATATTTCTACCGAGTTGCCATTTAAAATCGGTTTGCATACTATAAACTTTGGTGTACAAATCCAACCTATTCGTCTTGTTTTTTCGAGAAATTGCAAACACAGTTGTTATTCTGTTATTACGGCTACTATTATTACTGCTGCATAAGCATTGCATGTGCTCTGGCGTTGC